ACTTACACATAAACAAATATATTATGCAAATATGTCACATGATCATGGTAGTCATCTTGAATTTGTGTGGCTATTTATAGAGATTTCTGGAGATGTTTTAAAACCATAATCTTTTTTCCAGTTCTTAGTGAATTTGTTCAGTTTCAGTAGTGTAATAATAATGAATAATATGTTGGGGACATGGTTGGCGATAAACAAATTAGCCTAATAGGAGCAGTTTTTTAATGATTGATGAAATACTTCAATATGAAAAGTGAATAAAAATGTAAATAAAGTGATTTTTTCCCCGTTAATTGTGTTTATTTATCATGTTTCAATGAGCATTTGTGAATGCTTGATTATAAAAGCACTTCTAGTTAAAATCTGAGCTACTTTCTTCATTAACTGCTATACCTAGAGTTGTAGCTGTAGCAGTAGCCCTATGGTTTGTCAGGGATGTTGATGATTCCAAGTTGTGTGAAACAGGGTATATTTGAGCAGTATATGCAAGTCTAGCTTCTTTTACCTGTAGTTTTACATACACACTTTACAGTCTGGTTTGTGCCTTAGTTTTCATATTTAAAAAAAATGGCGCCCAGTAGGTTGTTATACGGTGACATGTGGTCTTGAAGATTTACACTGTGCCGAAAAACAGCAGGTCCAGTAAGAGCAAAGATATCCTGCCTGAACCTCTTTGCTGTGATCTTATACACAGAGTTAGCCGTGTTGTAGCTTATATGTTCATTGACCAGAGCAGTGTCAACTAAAAATAAATAAATAATATAATAGCAGGTGCCAGTTATAAGATCTAGGTGGGTAGGGGTAGTTTGCACCCAGCTGGCTGAAGTGATCGACACCCCCAGCCCCCACCTCACCCATAATTTTGTTGTATTTTTATGCAAGAACTGGCTTATTTATTATTCTGCCCTCAAGAATTCAACTTTTCCTGTTTTGTTCATAATATCATTGAAGTCAACAGTAGATATCAAGTGAACTCTCTTAGTGTCATGCCAGGTAACGGCCAACATGACTTTATCTTTTGTCACATAAAACAGGATGATTTGCCTTTTTCAGTTTCAGTTAGTTTTTCTTTGAAAAATCAATCAACGCACACCCACTTGTGTCTGACGTGGCACTCAGCCAATTGTGACTGACATGGCATCTTGTTGTTCTTTGTAAGGAGGTAGACTGTCAAGCTTGACATGTTCAGTTTCAGCAGCTTTTCTCCATTTACAAACAGCATTTTCAGCTGTATAAATGTTCTGGTTTCTTTTGCCCCGCCCACTTCTTGTTTCCTACATCACCTCCGTCATCAAGTCTATCATCATTGTCACTACTTTCTGTTCTTATCCAGGAATTATGGTTTTCAGCACTACATTCGTTGACAGATTCTGAATCATCAATACTTCTCTATATGCTGGTAACGAAAATTATTAGAATTTCACCAAAAACAAGCTTAAATCGGCTCTGTGCGATATCAATCGTAGACGCAGTCATCTTGAAATAATAAAAACACCCGGATAAAGCTCAATACAAAAACTATCAGTAAGGCTGTCTGTTTACAGGCTGCATGTCACAAAATTCATAGATTGGTGAATTTGGTCATCAAGGGATATGACCAGAAATTTGCAGATCGTCAAAGTTGATTAGCAAAGTGTTAAGCATAAAAATGGAGCAACTCAGTCATCACTGGTGCTAATAGTGAGTATTCTCACACGTTTAATTTCCGTCACTCTATCATTGATAAAATACTTCAGGCAGACACTTCAAAGAGAACATGCAACAATATTAATGTCAATAATTCACAGTTTAAATAGTAAAAAAGCCTTCAAATAAAACAATTGTCATACTTTCCACTTCATGCGTTCCAGCGTTTTCTGCTGCTCTAGAGGATTTGTCAGCAAATTTTGTATGTGCAAATTACCTTGAAATCTATTAACATATCGATGAAAATGTCCATACATTTAAAAACGATGATTTGAAATCAGTGTGGCTAGGTAAGTTTTCTTAAGTGACCAATTGCCTTGGACACAAGAAACACTCACACAGTCTGTCTAAAAAGTTACCAGAACTTACCTTACCTGTACTGGTGCAAATGTGATGCAGAAAAAGGTGCAGATACTGCGTGGCTGTTTGTACCGTCGGGAAAAGACTATTCTCTGTGCAGATATCATAGTCATACAGTCACTGAGAGTCAGTTCTCCTCCTCCTGCTTCATCATAAATTTGTGCTGTTTTTTTTCCCTTGTTTTCCATCCCTTTCTCATCAATGTTGCAAAATCTCTTTGTCTTCCACCCATCTCTCATCAGTGTTGCGATATCTGTTTGTCTTTCACCTCCTTTCCATCAGTGTTGCAATATCACTTTCTCATCAGTTGTCAGTTGAAATCAAGGCCTCATGTTTATTTCTTCACGTAACATGTTGACAGATATTTTCTGTGTGCATCTCTCTAAATTTATGGCATCTGCTTGAGTTCAGACTTGGGTATTTGCCTGTACCAGTATTTACTTCTAATTATTATTTTTTATTTCTGGACTGTTCTGCCTACAGTGTGTAGTGTGGATGCCCAGGTGTTCATTTGTCCTCATACAACGAACCCAACTTTGTAGATCAGCATATCTGTCTTATCTCAGGCATCACTTAAAAGTGCATGCACCTCTGCACTGACAACATGATTCTGCTCCTAACAACAGATGTCAAGCATGACAACAGAGGAGAAGGTCTAATGAGTCCTGGAGGCGCAGGTATCGGTTTGTCAGGGTGGGTGTCCTGAGACTGGATAATCCTGATGTCATCCCCTGCCCTACGCAGCCATTATTTGTCCCTGATGCTGAAGATGATATGTTGAAAAGGGTGTTTCAGATCTGAACTTATCCAAGATATGCATGAATCCTCCAAATCTGAATGGTTGCAGTCCAGAAATGTCCTGTGTCTGGAGGATCAAGCTTGAAACAAATATGTTACAATTATTACTGTCACACTGCCCCTGATTGCTTGTCTTATTTGTCTTTGTTTAGTACACATACAGCTGTAGTTTGTCTACATTTAAAAAACAAATGGTGGTGTTATTGTTCAGACTTGATCCCTTGTTGATGAGGTTGAGTATTACTGTGACCTGTCATTTGTTCACTGACGTCTGACTCCACCAGTCAGAACTAGATGTTGTTTCATTGGGCAATGTTAACTGACAGTTGACCAGCCAAAGAATATGTTTGTTACAAAAGTATTTAAAGGGCAAAAAGGGCAAGGCATACATGGGGGAGACTGACAGGAAGCAAGCTGATCGTTTCTGGGAACACCTCTCCAATATCGACAAGAAGACATTCAAACCAATCCCTCTTCATTTTAATAGCCCTGACCACAAGGGTAAAGATGACATATCTGTCACAGCATTAAAATCTTGCTCTGGCGATCATACTACCGGCCTCGCTTTGGAAAATTGCCTTATCCACAGCCTTGTCATTCTTAGTCCAAGTGGTATCAATATCCAACATACCTTTATCTAAATAGTTCTAATCTTATCACATTTTAAATGTTAATTATTTAATTTTATTTCATATTATTACTTTATTCAAAACTGCTGATAGAGACGTCTGGCGATCTCTCTGGCAAACCTCTACACCCCAAGGTAGAAGAGGAGCGACTAAGTAAAGTAAGTATTATTACTTTATTCTATTTCTTATCAGTATCATTTATGTATCATTAACACTTGTATTTCTTTTATTCCCAGTATTGTGACTATATTTTTTAGCCATCGTTTATTTTATTTTCTTTTATTCCGCATCACATTTTTTAAAACGTCGCTCACGTCACCCCTTAGAGATCTACATACTCTCCAAGCAAACCGCCACACAGGTAGTAATTGTCTCAGACTCAATGAATATGCTTCAGAAGATAGCAACAGGCAGTATGCGCTCTGAATGGATAGAAAGCATTCAGAAATCGCACTTAACCTCCGTAACCTGGATCTACACACCGGGTCATGCGGGCGTGAAGGGAAATGAGCGAGCAGACCAACTGGCAAGCACTGCACTAATGATTGCAGAAAAAAGTATGGACAGAGCAGATATAGTCAACGCTGTACGAACTGGGCTAGTGGAGAATGAGGAATCCCTGACACTAACACGATTGCGTGACATGGGAGTTAAGCATGGTGATGCACATCTTTGCCGTCTTCGAGGCCGAGAAAGGAGACAATATAACCAGCTTCTCATTGGGACAATTTGTAGAAGTACTTTAGAGTGGCTGCTGCTTCGGAGAAATGAGCACGCATGTGTATGCCCAATGTGCAGTGACATTAATTGTGATAACAGAACATAAAATAACATCTTAGTAGGGAGTCGAGAGTACGAAACCCAAGTTCAAGGTGTCTCCTTCGTGCCAAAGAACTGCATGGCTGTTGGGTGAACAGTCGTTAACGATGGCAGGCAGGTCGTTGTAGGGGCGACTCCTGCTGGTGGATGTAATGTCCTAAGTCTCTTCCCCAGCTAATAATGAGGGTACTGCTGGGGTGACCGTTTATTAACCCTCATATAATTCTTCTGGTCAAAATGGACGCTAGGTACGGCCACCTTTTTTATTTTTTTTTAAAAGCCGTGGCAAATATTTTTTGTTTTTTGCCAGACGGTGGCCATTGCATTTTTGCTCCATTTGTAGACTGGAAGGATATAGTTTCGTCGCCCAGCTTCTGAGTTGAGTGCATGGCGTGACACTGTGAGCTGCGTTTGTTTTTCGTTGGCACAGGAGCGGAGCATCTGTGGGGTGACCCGTTTGCTATGAGGCTGAAACTAGGATTACGAGATTACATACTCTCCATTCCTCGTGTGTGTATTTCACTTATGTTTGAAAAAGGCTGCCCGGCCAAAACGTTACGTTGTGTTGTTTTGTGCACGTTTTCCTTTTTCCCATTTTGTTGAGCTTTTTAGTCAAATTTCTCTGGAATTCCTTATTTAAAGGGCAGAGATATCTGATCATATATTTATATATATATATATTCCAGCACATATTGTCAAGCGTGCAAAATGACGTCCCGTCTAATGATGATTGGCCAGGTGATCTGCAGAGAAGCTCTCAAACCCAGGATTTTGACTGTGAGAATTATTGACCAGGTTTACGACGCACACCTGCACATGGTGAGAATGTGGCCTCAGTGTTGATGTCTGCTTCTGAAACAATTGTCTTTTTGTTGGTGTTGTATAACATGACGTGTTGATGTCTGCTTCTGAAACAATTGTCTTTTTGTTGGTGTTGTATAACATGACATGCTGATGTCTGCTTCTGAAACAATTGTCTTTTTGTTGGTGTTGTATAACATGACGTGCTGATGTCTGCTTCTGAAACAATTGTCTTTTTGTTGGTGTTGTATAACATGACGTGTTGATGTCTGCTTCTAAAACAATTGTCTTTTTGTTGGTGTTGTATAACATGACATGTTGATGTCTGCTTCTAAAACAATTGTCTTTTTGTTGGTGTTGTATAACATGACATGTTGATGTCTGCTTCTAAAACAATTGTCTTTTTGTTGGTGTTGTATAACATGACGTGTTGATGTCTGCTTCTGAAACAATTGTATTTTTGTTTGTGTTGTATAACATGACGTGTTGATGTCTGCTTCTGAAACAATTGTCTTTTTGTTGGTGTTGTATAACATGACGTGTTGATGTCTGCTTCTGAAACAATTGTCTTTTTGTTGGTGATGTATAACATGATGTGTTGATGTCTGCTTCCTCACCCTGAAACAATTGTCTTTTTGTTGGTGATAAGTATGTGTGGTATTGTATATTATGTATGGTTGGTATTGTATATTATTTAATGTTTATTGTATGGATGAAGCTACATAAATGACCTACTTGTATATTCTGTGGTGTTGTAGAAATGATTGGATACGCTGAAGGCTGTGGATACACAAATGTGTGTGACTCAGAACAACATACTTGATGTGTGTATGATTCAGTATAACAAACTTCATGTGTGTTGACTCAGTCCAACAAACTTGGTGTGTAAATGATTCAGTATAACAAACTTCATGTGTGTGACTCAGAACAACATACTTGATGTGTGTATGACTCAGTATAACTAACTTCATGTGTGTTGACTCAGTCCAACAAACTTGATGTGTAAATGATTCTGTATAACAAACTTCATGTGTGTGACTCAGAACAACATACTTGATGTGTAAATGATTCAGTATAACAAACTTCATGTGTGTTGACTCAGTGCAACAAACTTGATGTGTAAATGATTCAGTATAACAAACTTCATGTGTGTTGACTCAGTGCAACAAACTTGATGTGTAAATGATTCAGTATAACAAACTTCATGTGTGTTGACTCAGTACAACAAACTTGATGTGTAAATGATTCAGTATAACAAACTTCATGTGTGTTGACTCAGTACAACAAACTTGACGTGTGTATGACTCAGTATAACTAACTTCATGTGTGTTGACTCAGTACAACAAACTTCATGAGCTTGTGAGTCGGTGCAACAAACTTGATGATTGTGTGTAACTCAGTACAACTAACTTGATGTGTGTGTGTGTGACTCGGGATAAAAAGCCTCATGTGTGTGTCTCAGTACAACAAACTTTATATGTGCGTGTGACTCTGTATAACAAACTTGATGTGTGTGTGTGACTCAGTATAACTAACTTGATGTGTATGTGTGACTCAGTATAACAAACTTGATGTGTGTGTGTGTGTGTTTGTGTCTCAGTATTATGGGTACCAATGATGTTTTAAAAACAGTTTTTTCCAGAACCCAAAGACTTTAAAGTTCTGGAGACAGAGAAAGCCAAGGTGAAGGCTGGTGACATTATCCGGTTTCAGAAGGTTATTGTTTGTTTCTAGATCTGAGAAATAATTAGCCATTGACTTGTTTATTTGTCCACTAGAAAAAGTAGTTCCCATCCATTTGTTTGTTTCTAGAACTTTATGGAATTGGGAAATATGAACTCTTCAAGTGGAAAAGGTGAATATATCTGTCATGGCTGATTGCTGTCACAGTGGGTGTGGCATCTATCCATCCATTGTCCATCTTGCATTTCCTTTGAGTGTAGAATGTTGGCCAGATCCCATGGTCAATCTCAGCTGCACTATTCTCTCCACATTGACATGATCCATTCACACTTCTGCAATGTTTGTTTCTTTACTTGCTCCCCGAGTGAGTCCTGCAGTTTGTGCATTGCAGTGTCATGTCACATGGAGACAGAATGTGCATGCTGCCGGACACCATGGGCAGCTATAGGCTATCTTAGGCAATAATGCTGGTATGTTTGAATATGATGTGTGTGAAGGATGTTGCGATAGATCTTGAAGATACCTATAATGGTGTTGATGTCACATATCTTATGCAGTGTGTGAGGGACATTGTGTGAGCCCTTGGTTGGCATTGAGAACAATGAGGGATATGCTTAAGTTGCACACAAGATACATCAGTGAGAACAATGAGGTATATGCTTAGGTTGCACGCAAGATACACCAATGAGAACTGAGGTATATGTCTAGGTTGCACGCACGATACACCAATGAGAACAATGAGGGATCTGCTTATGTTGCACACGAGATACACCAATGAGAATAATGAGATGCACCAATGAGAACAGTGAGGGATATGCTTGGGCTGACATTGGTGAAGTCTGTAGCTGGCACAAGCCAAGGCTTATATGTGAGGTACCAATAGTGAAAATCATCCGCATGGAATTCTGAAAGATTTTAGAGACCATTTGAACAGAGGAAAGCTATGAATGGTTCTAGCCGAAAATACCATTGGGCTGGTGGCCTCAGTGGAGCAAATATGCATGGGGGCACAGTGAGCTTATAGAAACATACACAGCAGCAGCAGTTTCCGCCATGGCATCATGTAGAGAGTGATGTAGCTGTAAAGCAGAATGAGAGGTCCAGAAGCTGACGGATGAAATGCCTGGAAAGATGATGCAGTAGTGTACACCAGTGATTCTGTTTATCGGGATGAAAGATTTGGCTGGGGTTTTTCAGCTAGAGTGAAAGGAAGGATCATGGCAGAACAAAATGGTGCATTTTTATGTACAACTTCAAGCATGAAGTTGGAGGTCAAGGCAATCACTGCAGCTGTGCAATGAATAGCTTCCCCTTGTATGTTCTGGGGCCCCATTTTAGAGGAAAGAATAATAGACCCACTGCCTCCGCAACAAGGAGTCCACTAATTGGGGGCTTCCTTTGGTCAGAGTGCATCTGCCCGACCCACAAGGAACAACCAATTGCACACACACACACACACAAATCAATCAAATGAATGTACCCTCAAAACTCAGCCCCTTTCACAAGTGCAAACAGATCAACAACCAGGACTTTCCACTGGGACTTGAGCCTGCTGAACAAAGAAGAAGAATTGGGTAGCGGAAAATGTCAGTTACTGGGAAAATGATGATTCTCAGTCGGTACTGAGTCAGTTACTGGGCAAATGATGATTCTCAGTCGGTACTGAGTCAGTTACTGGGCAAATGATGATTCTCAGTCGGTACTGAGTCAGTTACTGGGCAAATGATGATTCTCAGTCGGTACTGAGTCAGTTACTGGGCAAATGATGATTCTCAGTCGGTGCTGAGGAAGGTTTACAATTAACAAAAGTGGATACCAAGCACTAGCATGTCAGCATTACAGGGACAGATGGATATACTTTCTGGGACATGCTGGTGTGTCAGGGAATGAAAGAGCAGATTATATGACTATAAAAGCGATAGCTACAGATACACTGCTAGTGGAGAAAGGAAATATTCTGAAGACCATTTGTGAACAAATGCGGGTAGAAGATGTGAGGTTAGAAAAATAAAATGTATAAGAATGTGTCAACATAGAATTAGGAGTGGATCCAGCAAGAAGCAATGGGACATATGTGAGGAAAGAAACAGTGTGTGTTTAATCAGTGTTCAACAGGGCATCTCTGGGTATGCCTCCTGAGCTTTGATGTTGAGAGACTGGGCATCTCTGGGTATGCCTCCTGAGCTTTGATGTTGAGAGACTGGGCATCTCTGGGTATGCCTCCTGAGCTTTGATGTTGAGAGACTGGGCATCTCTGGGTATGCCTCCTGAGCTTTGATGTTGAGAGACTGGGCATCTCTGGGTATGCCTCCTGAGCTTTGATGTTGAGAGACTGAGCATCTCTGGGTATGCCTCCTGAGCTTTGATGTTGCCTCTTTAAGCAATGATCAGTTGTTTATACCATAGGACCTATTGTCTCCTGCCACACATGGGACTTATTCACAACCATTTCTTGTCCGACAGCTGTTCTTGACCTATTGGCATTGTCTTGTTCTGTCTCCTGTATATGCCCTAGTATGGCATTGTCTTGCTGTCTCCTGTCTGTGGCATTGTCTTGTTCTGTCTCCTGTCTGTGGCATTGTCTTATTCTGTCTCCTGTCTATGCCCTAGTATGGCATTGTCTTGCTGTCTCCTGACTGTGGCATTGTTTTGTTCTGCCTCCTGTCTGTTGCATTGTCTTGTTCTGTCTCCTGTATATGCCCTAGTATGGCATTGTTTTGTTCTGTCTCCTGTCTGTGGCATTGTCTTGTTCTGTCTCCTGTCTATGCCCTAGTCTGGCATTGTCTTGTTCTGTCTCCTGTATATGCCCTAGTATGGCATTGTCTCCTATATATGCCCTAGTATGGCATTGTCTTGTTCTGTCTTCTATATATGCCCTAGTATGGCATTGTTTTGTTCTGTCTCCTGTATATGCCCTAGTATGGCATTGTCTTGTTCTGTCTCCTATATATGCCCTAGTATGGCATTGTCTTGTTCTGTCTCCTATATATGCCATAGTATGGCATTGTCTTGTTCTGTCTCCTATATATGCCCTAGTATGGCATTGTCTCCTGTATATGCCCTAGTATGGCATTGTCTTGTTCTGTCTCCTATATATGCCCTAGTATGGCATTGTCTCCTGTATATGCCCTAGTATGGCATTGTCTCCTATATATGCCCTAGTATGGCATTGTCTCCTGTATATGCCCTAGTATGGCATTGTCTTGTTCTGTCTCCTATATATGCCCTAGTATGGCATTGTCTCCTGTATATGCCCTAGTATGGCATTGTCTTGTTCTGTCTCCTATATATGCCCTAGTATGGCATTGTCTCCTGTATATGCCCTAGTATGGCATTGTCTCCTATATATGCCCTAGTATGGCATTGTCTCCTGTATATGCCCTAGTATGGCATTGTCTCCTGTATATGCCCTAGTATGGCATTGTCTTGTTCTGTCTCCTATATATGCCCTAGTATGGCATTGTCTCCTGTATATGCCCTAGTATGGCATTGTCTTGTTCTGTCTCCTATATATGCCCTAGTATGGCATTGTCTCCTGTATATGCCCTAGTATGACATTGTCTCCTGTATATGCCCTAGTATGGCATTGTCTCCTATATATGCCCTAGTATGGCATTGTCTCCTGTATATGCCCTAGTATGACATTGTCTTGTTCTGTCTCCTGTATATGCCCTAGTATGGCATTGTCTTGTTCTGTCTCCTATATATGCCCTAGTATGGCATTGTCTTGTTCTGTCTCCTATATATGCCCTAGTATGGCATTGTCTCCTATATATGCCCTAGTATGGCATTGTCTCCTATATATGCCCTAGTATGGCATTGTCTCCTGAATATGCCCTAGTATGGCATTGTCTTGTTCTGTCTCCTATATATGCCCTAGTAATGCTGCCCTAGTATGTCTCCTGTATATGCCCTAGTATGGCATCTTGTCTGTCTCCTATATATGCCCTAGTATGGCATTGTCTCCTGTATATGCCCTAGTATGGCATTGTCTTGTTCTGTCTCCTGTATATAGTATATGCCCTAGTATGGCATTGTCTCCTATATATGCCCTAGTATGGCATTGACTCCTATATATGCCCTAGTATGGCATTGTCTCTCCTGTATATGCCCTAGTATGGCATTGTAGTTGGCATGTCTTGTTCTGTCTCCTGTTCTGTCTCCTGTATATGCCCTAGTATGGCATTGTCTTGTTCTGTCTCCTATATATGCCTAGTATTGGCATATATGCCCTAGTATGGCATTGTCTTGTTCTGTCTCCTATATATGCCATAGTATGGCATTGTCTTGTTCTGTATGGCATTGTCTCCTATATATGCCCTAGTATGGCATTGTCTCCTGTCTCCTATATATGCCCTAGTATGGCATATGCCCTAGTATGGCATTTGTTCTGTCTCCTGTATATGCCCTAGTATGGCATTGTCTGTCTCCTATATATGCCCTAGTATGGCATTGTCTCCTGTATATGCCCTAGTATGACATTGGCATTGTATATATGCCCTAGTATGGCTATCCTGTATATGCCCTAGTATGGCATTGTCTTGTTCTGTCTCCTATATATGCCCTAGTATGGCATTGTCTTGTTCTGTCTCCTATATGTAGTATATGCCCTAGTCTCCTATATATGCCCTAGTATGGCATTGTCTTGTTCTGTCTCCTGTATATGCCCTAGTATGGCATGCCCTGTCTCCTATATATGCCCTAGTATGGCATTGTCTCCTGTATATGCCATAGTATGGCTGTATTGTCTAGTTGCATGTCTTGTCTTGCCCTTCTGTCTCCTATATATGCCCTAGTATGGCATTGTCTCCTGTATATGCCCTAGTATGGCATTGTCTCCTGTATATGCCCTAGTATGGCATTGTCTTGTTCTGTCTCCTATATATGCCCTAGTATGGCATTGTCTCCTGTGTATGCCCTAGTATGGCATTGTCTCTGTTACCCTAGTATGGCATTGTCTCCTGTATATGCCCTAGTATGGCATTGTCTTGTTCTGTCTCCTATATATGCCCTAGTATGGCATTGTCTCCTGTATATGCCCTAGTATGGCATTGTCTTGTTCTGTCTCCTATATATGCCCTAGTATGGCATTGTCTCCTGTATATGCCCTAGTATGGCATTGTCTCCTATATATGTGTATCTGTCTCCTGTATATGCCCTAGTATGGCATTGTCTTGTTCTGTCTCCTATATATGCCCTAGTATGGCATTGTCTCCTGTATATGCCCTAGTAGTATGGCATTGTCTCCTGTATATGCCCTATATGTCTTGTTCTGACCATTGTCTCCTATATATGCCCTAGTATGGCATTGCATCTGCATTGTAGTATGCATTGTCTCCTGTATATGCCCTAGTATGGCATTGTTTTGTTCTGTCTCCTGTATATGCCCTAGTATGGCATTGTCTTGTTCTGTCTCCTATATATGCCCTAGTATGGCATTGGCTAGTATGGCATTGTTCTGCCTCCTATATATGCCCTAGTATGGCATTGTCTCCTGTATATGCCCTAGTATGGCATTGTCTTGTTCTGTCTCCTATATATGCCCTAGTATGGCATTGTCTCCTGTATATGCCCTAGTATGGCATTGTCTCCTATATATGCCCTAGTATGGCATTGTCTTGTTCTGTCTCCTATATATGCCCTAGTATGGCATTGTCTCCTGTATATGCCCTAGTATGGCATTGTCTTGTTCTGTCTTCTGTATATGCCCTAGTATGGCATTGTCTCCTATATATGCCCTAGTATGGCATTGTCTCCTGTATATGCCCTAGTATGGCATTGTCTTGTTCTGTCTCCTATATATGCCCTAGTATGGCATTGTCTCCTGTATATGCCCTAGTATGGCATTGTCTCCTGTATATGTCCCTAGTATATGCCCTAGTATTGCTTGTTCTGTCTCCTGTATATGCCCTAGTATGGCATTGTCTTGTGCCCTGCATTGTCTCCTCCTATATATGCCCTAGTATGGCATTGTCTCCTGTATATGCCCTAGTATGGCATTGTCTCTCCTGTATATGCCCTAGTATGGCATTGTCTTGTCTGTCTCCTATATATGCCCTAGTATATGGCATTGTCTCCTGTCTCCTAGTATATGTCCCTGTATATGCCCTAGTATGGCATTGTCTTGTTCTGTCTCCTATATATGCCCTAGTATGGCATTGTCTTGTTCTGTCTCCTATATATGCCCTAGTATGGCATTGTCTCCTATATATGCCCTAGTATGGCATTGTCTTGTTCTGTCTCCTATATATGCCCTAGTATGGCATTGTCTCCTATATATGCCCTAGTATGGCATTGTCTCCTATATATGCCCTAGTATGGCATTGTCTCCTGTATATGCCCTAGTATGGCATTGTCTCCTGTATATGCCCTAGTATGGCATTGTTGTCTCCTATAATATGCCCTAGTATGGCATTGTCTCTGTATATGCCCTAGTCTGGCATTGTCTGTATATGCCCTAGTATGGCAGGCTGTATATGCCCTAGTATGGCATTGTCTTGTTCTGTCTCCTATATATGCCCTAGTATGGCATTGTCTCCTGTGTATGCCCTAGTATGACATTGTCTTCTGTATATACCCTAGTATGGCATTGTCTCCTGTATATGCCCTAGTATGACATTGTCTTGTTCTGTCTCCTGTATATGCCCTAGTATGGCATTGTCTTGTTCTGTCTCCTATATATGCCCTAGTATGGCATTGTCTTGTTCTGTCTCCTATATATGCCCTAGTATGGCATTGTCTCCTATATATGCCCTAGTATGGCATTGTCTCCTATATATGCCCTAGTATGGCATTGTCTCCTGTATATGCCCTAGTATGGCATTGTCTTGTTCTGTCTCCTGGCTGTGCTCTTGTGCCTGACATTGTCTTGTTCTGTTTCCTGTCATTGCCCTTGTATCTTATACCTTGTTCTGTTTCCTGTCTGTACCCTTGTATCTTATACCTTGTTCTGTCTCCTGTCTGTACCCTTGTATCTTATACCTTGTTCTGTCTCCTGTCTGTACCCTTGTATCTGATATTCTATTTTGTTCTGTCTTCGGTCTGACATCATATATTGTTCTATCCCCAGTCACCAGAAAGATATTCTGTTGAAGTGGAGTATGAGACAGCAGAAGTGGTGTTTCCCATTGGTCGCACGGTTGATCCAGTGACAGGTCGCCGGTGTCGAGGCACACAGTTCATTGATGAGCGGGCCCGAGAGCAAGAGACTAAGAGAATCTCAAGCATCAAGGACTGGCCCAATTATTCCTTGTGATGATGATGATGTCTTTTGTTGATATTACATTTTGTGAATGGATGTTTTTTTTTCTTGTACATATTACATTTTGTGAGTGAATATGTTTTCTGTTGTTGATACAGGTGTGTGTGTGTTGGTCTTTTTTTTTTTTTTTCACAAGAGTTAGGTACGCATGCTAGAGGACACAAGCCAGAACTTAATCACACAGATAAAGTATGTATTTCAATGTACAAGTTTATAAAAACATACATTATTGTCAATGAAATTATTACCTATAACAGTAGCACCAGTTATTTCAAATCAAGAGTTATATCTGTTCTGAGAATATTGCCACAGCCTAAATTAACAAACAGACTAGCTAAAAGATATTGTGGGGGGAAATATTGTTTCTACCATCTGAGAGCGAAATATTGTTTCTACCATCTGAGGGGGAATATTGTTTCTACCATCTGAGGGGGAAATATTGTTTCTACCATCTGAGGGGGAAATATTGTTTCTACCATCTGAGAGGGAAATATTGTTTCTACCATCTGAGAGGGAAATATTGTTTCTACCATCTGAGGGGGGGGGGGGGGAATATTGTTTCTACCATCTTAGAGGGAAATGTTGTTTCTACCATCTGAGAGGGAAATATTGTTTCTACTATCTGAGGGGAAATATTGCCAATGAAGGTCTGATCCCTCCAGACAGGAAGTTGTTGACAATGACAAACCTACAGTCTGTGGAGGAAACATCGAAAAGATCTTATCCCTATAGTGTTTTGGGGCAAAGGAATAGAAGAGCTTTGCAACACTCCATGTGAGGATGACAGTTTTGTGGCAGAGGAATAGAAGAGCTTTGCAACAGTCCATGTGAGGATGACAGTTTTGTGGCAGAGAAATAGAAGAGCTTTGCAACACTCCATGTGAGAATGAGTTTTGTGGCAGAGGAATAGAAGAGCTTTGCAACACTCCATGTGAGGATGACAGTTTTGTGGCAGAGGGATAGAAGAGCTTTGCAACAGTCCCTGTGAAGATGACAGTTTTGTGGCAGAGGGATAGAAGAGCTTTGCAACACTCCCTGTGAAGATGACAGTTTTGTGGCAGAGGATAGAAGAGCTTCGCAACAGTCCATGTGAGGATGACAGTTTTGTGGCAGAGGAATAGAAGAGCTTTGCAACACTCCATGTGAGGATGACAGTTTTGTGGCAGAGGAATAGAAGAGCTTTGCAACAGTCCATGTGAGGATGACAGTTTTGTGGCAGAGAAATAGAAGAGCTTTGCAACACTCCATGTGAGAATGAGTTTTGTGGCAGAGGAATAGAAGAGCTTTGCAACACTCCATGTGAGGATGACAGTTTTGTGGCAGAGAGATAGAAGAGCTTTGCAACACTCCATGTGAGGATGACAGTTTTGTGGCAGAGGGATAGAAGAGCTTTGCAACACTCCCTGTGAAGATGACAGTTTTGTGGCAGAGGATAGAAGAGCTTCGCAACAGTCCATGTGAGGATGACAGTTTTGTGGCAGAGGAATAGAAGAGCTTTGCAACACTCCATGTGAGGATGACAGTTTTGTGGCAGAGGAATAGAAGAGCTTTGCAACACTCCATGTGAGGATGACAGTTTTGTGGCAGAGGAATAGAAGAGCTTTGCAACACTCCATGTGAGGATGGCAGTTTTGTGGCAGAGGGATAGAAGAGCTTTGCAACACTCCATGTGAGGATGACAGTTTTGTGGCAGAGGGATAGAAGAGCTTTGCAACAGTCCATGTGAGGATGACAGTTTTGTGGCAGAGGGATAGAAGAGCTTTGCAACAGTTCATGTGAGGATGACAGTTTTTTTAGTTGGGTAGTAACAGTCTCCACCAAAAGCAGACTCACTTGCCATCCCTTACACGGCCCCAGACCATCCCTTACACAGCCCCAGACCATCCCTTACACGGCCCCAGACCATCCCTTACACGGCCCCAGACCATCCCTTACAGGGCCCCAGACCATCCCTTACACGACCCAAGACTATCCCTTACAGGGCCCCAGACCATCCCTTACAGGGCCCCAGACCATCCCTTACACGGCCCAAGACTATCCCTTACAGGGCCTGGGACAATCTCGGTGGGAATGTGTGCAGTGCTGACATTTAGACTTGATGAGATGGCTGACTGCCCTCCAGCTGACATTTAGACTTGCTGAGATGGCTGACTGCCCTCCAGCTGACATTTAGACTTGATGAGATGGCTGACTGCCCTCCAGCTGACATTTAGACTTGATGAGATGGCTGACTGCCTTCCAACTGACATTTAGACTTGATGAGATGGCTGACTGCCCTCCAGCTGACATTTAGACTTGATGAGATGGCTGACTGCCTTCCAACTGACATTTAGATTTGCTGAGATGGCTGACTGCCCTCCAGCTGACATTTAGACTTGATGAGATGGCTGACTGCCCTCCAGCTGACATTTAGACTTGATGAGATGGCTGACTGCCTTCCAGCTGACATTTAGACTTGATGAGATGGCTGACTGCCCTCCAGCTGACATTTAGACTTGATGAGATGGCTGACTGCCCTCCAGCTGACATTTAGACCTGCTGAGATGGCTGACTGCCTTCCAGCTGACATTTAGACTTGCTGAGATGGCTGACTGCCCTCCAGCTGACATTTAGACTTGATGAGATGGCTGACTGCCCTAGAGCTGACATTTAGACTTGATGAGATGGCTGACTGCCTTCCAGCTGACATTTAGACTTGCTGAGATGGCTGACTGCCTTCCAGCTGACATTTAGACTTGCTGAGATGGCTGACTGCCCTCCAGCTGACATTTAGACTTGCTGAGATGGCTGACTGCCCTCCAGCTGACATTTAGACTTGATGAGATGGCTGACTGCCCTCCAGCTGACATTTAGACTTGATGAGATGGCTGACTGCCCTCCAGCTGACATTTAGACTTGATGAGATGGCTGACTGCCTTCCAGCTGACATTTAGACTTGCTGAGATGGCTGACTGCCCTCCAGCTGACATTTAGACTTGCTGAGATGGCTGACTGCCCTCCAGCTGACATTTAGACTTGATGAGATGGCTGACTGCCCTCCAGCTGACATTTAGACTTGATGAGATGGCTGACTGCCTTCCAGCTGACATTTAGACTTGCTGAGATGGCTGACTGCCCTCCAGCTGACATTTAGACTTGATGAGATGGCTGACTGCCTTCCAGCTGACATTTAGACTTGCTGAGATGGCTGACTGCCCTCCAGCTGACATTTAGACTTGATGAGATGGATGACTGCCTTCCAGCTGACATTTAGACTTGATGAGATGGCTGACTGCCCTCCAGCTGACATTTAGACTTGATGAGATGGCTGACTGCCCTCCAGCTGACATTTAGACTTGATGAGATGGCTGACTGCCCTCCTGCTGACATTTAGACTTGATGAGATGGCTGACTGCCCTCCAGCTGACATTTAGACTTGATGAGATGGCTGACTGCCCTCCAGCTGACATTTAGACTTGATGAGATGGCTGACTGCCCTCCAGCTGACATTTCAGCACATGTTTCCAGGAACATGTTACGAATACAAATGATTTCAACTGTTATATTCTGTCTTCACAATTCAAATTGTACATTTTTTTTAATGTTTAGTCTGCCTGTTTGTTGAAGGAATGCATTTTATTTTTAAAGGGTCATACATTGGACCTTGTAATTCATGATCTTTCCCATACCTCAAGAGTTTGTGATCTTGTCCTCCCACTTCATGCCAAGTCTTTACCTCAAGAGTTTGTGATCTTGTCCTCCCACTTCATGCCAAGTCTTTACCTCAAGAGTTTGTGATCTTGTCCTCCCACTTCATGTTAAGTCTTTACCTCAGAGTTTGTGATCTTGTCCTCCCACTTCATGCCAAGTCTTTACCTCAGAGTTTGTGATCTTGTCCTCCCACTTCATGCCAAGTCTTTACCTCAAGAGTTTGTGATCTTGTCCTCCCACTTAATGCCAAGTCTTTACCTCAAGAGTTTGTGATCTTGTCCTCCCACTTCATGCCAAGTCTTTACCTCAAGAGTTTGTGATCTTGTCCTCCCACTTCATGCCAAGTCTTTACGTCAAGAGTTTGTGATCTTGTCCTCCCACTTCATGCCAAGTCTTTTCCTCAAGAGTTTGTGATCTTGTCCTCCCACTTCATGCCAAGTCTTTACCTCAAGAGTTTGTGATCTTGTCCTCCCACTTCATGCCAAGTCTTTACCTCAAGAGTTTGTGATCTTGTCCTCCCACTTCATGCCAAGTCTTTACCTCAAGAGTTTGTGATCTTGTCCTCCCACTTCATGCCAAGTCTTTACCTCAAGAGTTTGTGATCTTGTCCTCCCACTTCATGCCAAGTCTTTACCTCAGAGTTTGTGATCTTGTCCTCCCACTTCATGCCAAGTCTTTACCTCAAGAGTTTGTGATCTTGTCCTCCCACTTCATGCCAAGTCTTTACCTCAAGAGTTTGTGATCTTGTCCTCCCACTTCATGCCAAGTCTTTACCTCAAGAGTTTGTGATCTTGTCCTCCCACTTCATGCCAAGTCTTTACCTCAGAGTTTGTGATCTTGTCCTCCCACTTCATGCCAAGTCTTTACCTCAGAGTTTGTGATCTTGTCCTCCCACTTCATGCCAAGTCTTTACCTCAAGAGTTTGTGATCTTGTCCTCCCACTTCATGCCAAGTCTTTACCTCAAGAGTTTGTGATCTTGTCCTCCCACTTCATGCCAAGTCTTTACCTCAGAGTTTGTGATCTTGTCCTCCCACTTCATGCCAAGTCTTTACCTCAAGAGTTTGTGATCTTGTCCTCCCACTTCATGCCAAGTCTTTACCTCAGAGTTTGTGATCTTGTCCTCCCACTTAATGCCAAGTATTCTTCTTAGGCATTTCTAGTGAAAACTATTTAGCCGTTTCTCCTGGTGTGAATAAGTTGACTGCAGACTGCCAAGAACACAAGCCTGATTGATATTTTTTTTTTTTTATTGTGCGCTTTCTGTTATTCATAACATGAATGTTAGATCAAAAGAAAGATGATAAATGCATGCATGCATGCACACAGACAAAACAACAGACCAATAAACAGTTGGCAAGGTCAATATGGAACCAGTTCATTCTATATCACCGACATTCTATTTCAGTGATGAGTCAGTTATCACCAACTTTCTATTTCAATGATGAGTCAGTTATCACCAACATTCTATTTCAATGATGAGTCAGTTATCACCAACTTTCTATTTCAATGATGGGTCAGTTATCACCAACATTCTATTTCAGTGTTGAGTCAGTAATCACCAACTTTCTATTTCAATGATGAGTCAGTTATCACCAACTTTCTATTTCAATGATGAGTCAGTTATCACCAACATTCTATTTCAGTGTTGAGTCAGTAATCACCAACTTTCTATTTCAATGATGAGTCAGTTATCACCAACATTCTATTTCAGTGTTGAGTCTGTAATCACCAACATTCTATTTCAGTGTTGAGTCTGTATCACCAGTATTCTATTCCAATGTTAATTCTGCCTGAGGCAACTGTTATGTGGTGCTAACATTGTGTGGGGGCAAGTGAGTGCTACTGTTATGTGGTGCTAACATTGTGTGGGGGCAAGTGAGTGCTACTGTTGTGTGGTGCCAACATTGTGTGGGGGCAAGTGAGTGCTACTGTTATGTGGTGCTAACATTGTGTGGGGGCAAGTGAGTGCTACCGTTATGTGGTGCTAACATTGTGTGGGGGCAAGTGAGTGCTACTGTTATGTGGTGCTAACATTGTGTGGGGGCAAGTGAGTGCTACTGTTATGTGGTGCCAACATTGTGTGGGTGTGAGTGAGTGCTACTGTTATGTGGTGCTAACATTGTGTGGGAGCAAGTGAGTGCTACTGTTATGTGGTGCCAACATTGTGTGGGTGCGAGTGAGTGCTACCGTTATGTGGTGCCAACATTGTGTGGGTGCGAGTGAGTGCTACTGTTATGTGGTGCCAACATTGTGTGGGGGCAAGTGAGTGCTACTGTTGTGTGGTGCCAACATTGTGTGGGTGCGAGTGAGTGCTACTGTTATGTGGTGCCAACATTGTGTGCGGGCAAGTGAGTGCTACTGTTATGTGGTGCCAACATTGTGTGGGTGCGAGTGAGTGCTACTGTTATGTGGTGCCAACATTGTGTGGGTGCGAGTGAGTGCTACTGTTATGTGGTGCCAACATTGTGTGGGGGCAAGTGAGTGCTACTGTTGTGTGGTGCCAACATTGTGTGGGTGCGAGTGAGTGCTACTGTTATGTGGTGCCAACATTGTGTGGGGGCAAGTGAGTGCTACTGTTATGTAGTGCCAACATTGTGTGGGGGCAAGTGAGTGCTACTGTTATGTGATGCCAACATTGTGTGGGGGCAAGTGAGTGCTACTGTTATGTGGTGCCAACATTGTGTGGGTGTGAGTGAGTGCTACTGTTATGTGGTGCCAACATTGTGTGGGGGCAAGTGAGTGCTACTGTTATGTGGTGCCAACATTGTGTGGGTGTGAGTGAGTGCTACCGTTATGTGGTGCCAACATTGTGTGGGGGCAAGTGAGTGCTACTGTTATGTGGTGCCAACATTGTGTGGGGGCAAGTGAGTGCTACTGTTATGTGGTGCCAACATTGTGTGGGTGCGAGTGAGTGCTACTGTTATGTGGTGCCAAATTTGTGTGGGTGCGAGTGAGTGCTACTGTTGTGTGGTGCCAACATTGTGTGGGGGCAAGTGAGTGCTACTGTTATGTGGTGCCAACATTGTGTGGGTGCGAGTGAGTGCTACTGTTATGTGGTGCCAACATTGTGTGGGTGCGAGTGAGTGTTACTGTTATGTGGTGCCAACATTGTGTGGGTGCGAGTGAGTGCAAATGTTGTGTGGTGCCAACATTATGTGGGTGTGAGTGAGTGCTACTGTTGTGTGGTGCCAACATTGTGTGGGTGCGAGTGAGTGCTACTGTTATGTGGTGCCAACATTGTGTAGGGGCAAGTGATTGCTACTGTTATGTGGTGCCAACATTGTGTGGGTGCGAGTGAGTGCAACTGTTATGTGGTACTAATATTATGTGGATGAGTGCTACTGTTGTGTGGGTGATTGCTACTGTTGTGTGTTTGCGGATGAGTGCTACTGTTGTGTGGGTGATTGCTACTGTTGTTTGGGTGGGTGCTGCTGTTGTGTGGTTGCGGATGAGTGCTACTGTGATGGGAAAACTTGATAACAGGAGAGACGTGTTGTGCTCTGACGTGACCCAAGTGGGTCAATACTGTGGCTGCCTGCAGGACACCCAGAGACTCCTGGTTAAACCTGGTTAAACATTCGTACAGAAACCTACAATCTTGCTCCGTGACTTTCTGAAAGCCATCCAGAAAGTCCAAGAGCTCACGACTGACATGAAGAAAACTTCCAATGGCCACAAGAAAATGGCTGCCGCCCTGTTGGACAAATTCTGTGAACCTGAAGGATTCTATCTCTTGCAGAAGCTGAACAGTGTTTGATCTCTCGCCGCCCAGGTCAGGGGAGGTTAGAATAAGGTCAAACAAAGGGGAGTAACTGTTGCTGTGGAAGATGATATTGACAACGTGTGTGACATACTGCAGCTGATCCTGGGGGACAAATGGCTTCAAGAGACTGAGCACTTGGTCTGAAGTCTGGGTAATGTTGCTGCTGCAGAAGGGCTGTACACAGTCTTGTAGATCCCGAATCAGTTCACCGAAGACACCCAAGTTACGAGTCAACAGAGCAGTTGCTGTCACAAACTCTAGCACAGACTGTCTGCATCCGGCCTGCCAGAGATCTCTCAACATATTTCCTACAGCAGTGAGGATTTTCAGACCAGCACCCAACTTCCACAGTTTGTGCCCAACTTTCACTGCCAGTCTCAACTTTGGATGTAGAGGGGCTGCCACTACCAGAACACTCCCGACAGTTTTGCTTGCCGACCCCACCATCTTCAAGGCTGCACATCCTCGTTTCCAGGTGACAATTAGTTTCACCTGTTGCATGTAGCGGTTGACCTTCTTATATATCTTTTGCCAATCCTCTGCCATTGCAACGACATTTTTGAGAATGTCGGCAGCATAAGAACTTTTAGCAGCCAGTCTCTGCACATTCTGTTCACTGCTGGATGGGGCCGACAACTGCTCCATGGAGGCTAGCACTTCTTGTCATGGGACTAGCAATTAGTCTGGAACACCACCTGAGGAAGACAGCAGAAATCACTTTGACTACTGTATAGAACACCACTCAAGGAAGACAGCAGATTTCACTTTGACTATTGTCTAGAACACCACCTGGGGAAGACAGCAGAAATCACATTGACTCTATACATCAAGGAAGACAGCAGAAATCACTTTGACTATTGTATAAAACACCACCTGGGGAAGACAGCAGAAATCACTTTAACTCTATACATCAAGAAAGACAGCAGAAATCACTTTGACTATTGTCTAGAACACCACCTGGGGAAGACAACAGAAATCACCAGCAGATATCACTTTGACTATTGCCTAGAACACCACCTGGGGAAGACAGCAGAAATCACATTGACTCTATACATCAAGGAAGACAGCAGAAATCACTTTGACTATTGTCTAGAACACCACCTGGGGAAGACAGCAGAAATCACTTTGACTACTGTATAAAACACCACCTGGGGAAGACAGCAGAAATCACATTGACTCTATACATCAAGGAAGACAGCAGAAATCTCTTTGACTATTGTATAAAACACCACCTGGGGAAGACAGCAGAAATCACTTTAACTCTATACATCAAGAAAGACAGCAGAAATCACTTTGACTATTGTCTAGAACACCACCTGGGGAAGACAACAGAAATCACCAGCAGATATCACTTTGACTATTGCCTAGAACACCACCTGGGGAAGACAGCAGAAATCACATTGACTCTATACATCAAGGAAGACAGTAGAAATCACTTTGACTATTGTCTAGAACACCACCTGGGGAAGACAGCAGAAATCACATTGACTCTATACATCAAGGAAGACAGCAGAAATCACTTTGACTATTGTCTAGAACACCACCTGGGGAAGACAGCAGAAATCACTTTGACTACTGTATAAAACACCACCTGGGGAAGACAGCAGAAATCACATTGACTCTATACATCAAGGAAGACAGCAGAAATCACTTTGACTATTGTATAGAACACCACCTGGGGAAGACAGCAGAAATCACTTTGACTATTGTGTAGAACACCACCTGGGGAAGACAGCAGAAATCACTTTGACTATTGTATAAAACACCACCTGGAGAAGACAGCAGAAATTACTTTGACTATTGTGTAGAACACCACCTGGGGAAGACAGCAGAAATCACTTTGACTATTGTATAAAACACCACCTGGGGAAGACAGCAGAAATCACTTTGACTATTGTGTAGAACACCACCTGGGGAAGAAAGCAGAAATCACTTTGACTATTGTGTAGAACACCACCTGGGGAAGATAGCAGAAATCACTTTGACTATTGTGTAGAACACCACCTGGGGAAGACAGCAGAAATCACTTTGACTATTGTATAAAACACCACCTGGAGAAGACAGCAGAAATCACTTTGACTATTGTGTAGAACACCACCTGGGGAAGAAAGCAGAAATCACTTTGACTATTGTATAGAACACCACTCAGGGAAGACAGTGCAGATCACTTTGGCTCTTGTGTAGACCATGACCTGGTGAATAAGACAGCAGAGATCACTGTGGCTCTTGAGTAGAACACTACCTGGGAGGACAGTAAAGATCTGTGTGGCTCTTGTGTAGAACACTACCTGGGAGGACAGTAAAGATCACTGTGGCTCTTGTATAGAACACTACCTTTTTGTGGTCAGCTAATAAGAAAGAACCATAATTTCTTCAAATTTTTTACATCCCCTTGACTTTACTTTCTCATATTGTTCTTCAAAATTTCTTGATGTTTCATACTGTTCAGAATTTGGTACTGCTTCATTCTGTTTCAGATGTTTAGTTCAGCAGTTGTTGCATACTTCATATTGGGGTACAAGACATACTTCTCATGATATAAGTCTCAACATGGCATTTGCAACACATTCTATTCTTATACTTTCATTAGTTACAACCTCTCTGTTTCGCTTCTTCTGTCTTGTTCACAAAAGCGCTGCTAGTTTACGGGTAGGTAAGAATGACGTTCTCATTTTTCATCCTTACTGTGGATTGGTTTATCAATAAAACTCACATGTATATTATTTCTCATACATGACCAAGGGATGTTTCTAGAAGTCATTTGTGTCTAAACAGAAGGTCTAATCAAGGGATGGGACGTTTCTACAAGTCTTTTGTGTCTAAACAGAAGGTCTAATCAAGGGATGGGACGTTTCTACAAGTCTTTTGTGTCTAAACAGATGGCCTAACCAAGGGATGGGACGTTTCTAGAAGTCACTTGTGTCTAAACAGAAGGCCTAACCAAGGGATGGGACGTTTCTAGAAGTCATTTGTGTCTAAACAGATGGCCTAACCAAGGGATGGGACGTTTCTAGAAGTCATTTGTGTCTAAACAGATGGCCTAACCAAGGGATGGGACGTTTCTAAAAGTCATTTGTGTCTAAACAGAAGGTCTAACCAAGGGATGGGACATTTCTAGAAGTCATTTGTGTCTAAACGGAAGGCCTAACCAAGGGATGGGACATTTCTAGAAGTCATTTGTGTCTAAACAGAAGGCCTAACCAAGGAATGGGATGTTTCTAGAAGTCACTTGTGTCTAAACAGAAGGCCTAACCAAGGGATGGGATGTTTCTAGAAGTCATTTGTGTCTAAACAGAAAATCTAACCAAGGGATGGGACATTTCTAGAAGTCATTTGTGTCTAAACAGAAAATCTAACCTAGGGATGGGACGTTTCTAGCAGTCATTTCTGTCTAAACAGAAGGTCTAACCAAGGGATGGGACATTTCTAGAAGTCATTTGTGTCTAAACAGAAAATCTAACCAAGGGATGGGACATTTCTAGAAGTCATTTGTGTCTAAACAGAAGGCCTAACCAAGGGATGGGACATTTCTAGAAGTCATTTGTGTCTAAACAGATGGCCTAACCAAGGGATGGGATGTTTCTAGAAGTCATTTGTGTCTAAACAGAAGGTTTAACCAAGGGATGGGACATTTCTAGAAGTCATTTGTGTCTAAACAGAAGGCCTAACCAAGGAATGGGATGTTTCTAGAAGTCACTTGTGTCTAAACAGAAGGCCTAACCAAGGGATGGGATGTTTCTAGAAGTCATTTGTGTCTAAACAGATGGCCTAACCAAGGGATGGGACGTTTCTAGAAGTCATTTGTGTCTAAACAGAAAATCTAACCAAGAGATAGGACATTTCTAGAAGTCATTTGTGTCTAAACAGAAAATCTAACCAAGGGATGGGACGTTTCTAGCAGTCATTTGTGTCTAAACAGAAGGTCTAACCAAGGGATGGGACATTTCTAGAAGTCATTTGTGTCTAAACAGAAAATCTAACCAAGGGATGGGACATTTCTAGAAGTCATTTGTGTCTAAACAGAAGGCCTAACCAAGGGATGGGACATTTCTAGAAGTCATTTGTGTCTAAACAGAAAATCTAACCAAGGGATGGGACATTTCTAGAAGTCATTTGTGTCTAAACAGAAGGCCTAACCAAGGGATGGGACATTTCTAGAAGTCATTTGTGTCTAAACAGATGGCCTAACCAAGGGATGGGACGTTTCCAGAAGTCATTTGTGTCTAAACAGAAGGCCTAACCAAGGGATGGGACATTTCTAGAAGTCATTTGTGTCTAAACAGAAGGCCTAACCAAGGGATGGGACATTTTTAGAAGTCATTTGTGTCTAAACAGATGGCCTAACCAAGGAATGGGACGTTTCTAGAAGTCATTTGTGTCTAAACAGAAGGCCTAACCAAGGGATGGGACATTTCTAGAAGTCATTTGTGTCTAAACAGAAGGCCTAACCAAGGGATGGGACATTTCTAGAAGTCATTTGTGTCTAAACAGATGGCCTAACCAAGGGATGGGACATTTCTAGAAGTCATTTGTGTCTAAACAGAAAATCTAACCAAGGGATGGGACATTTCTAGAAGTCATTTGTGTCTAAACAGATGACTTACAGCATAATAAGAATGGGAAAATAGGACCACTTTACACTACACAACAATTACGTAACCAAAAGTAACTGTACTGTTATGCATAAATATCGGCTAAAAAAAATTTAAAAAAAATTTCCTAGTTATAACTCAGAAGGATTGAATATGGTATAGTGGGTCAAATTATTTATAGTGACTGAGCTAATACAGTCGAAACTCTAATGACTGTAGTCTCCACTACTTAACTCTACTAGTCTGAACTCTAGGGACAGGACAGATTGTGACTGATTGTCAACAATGGTACAGGAGGTAGGCTCTGCATTCTAACGTTGTTAACGCCCGCACTCTAGTGTTCTATATCACCCACAGTTGAAGTGGGACCGATGAAAACACATTTAAATATAATTTTAGTAAAATAGTGCATGGAAGTGTAAGCATGAAAATCTGGGCTCTACTGGCCAATTTGGCCGGTAAGCTGGACTGCTTCGGCCGGCTTAGTGGGAGTTATGTCCCTTGGCCAAACTCAAAACAGCTCAAAACAAGTCGCGGAAAAAGTCACGAATCAAACGGCATACTTACCTATCATCATCCGGGTGCGTATAGGGTTGCGTAGGGTGTCTATCATCGTCCTACGGTTGTGTGTAGGGCTGCTTATTGAGTGTAGGGTTGGTTGTGTGCGTAAGATAGATGAGGGGTAGAGTTGGGTTTAGGGTTAGGTGTAGCGTTAGATGTGACAGTTGTGACGCCGTAGTTCCCTACAATCGCGCACAGTCGCATGCACGCGCAAACAGTCGATGGGCGGTGGATGCTACTGACACAGACAATTCGCCACCGATTGGGGCACCAGCCGCCGCGCGCTATTGCCGCCATATTTGGCACACTTCCAGTGGCTCCACTCCCACAAGCATCAGATTGTCGGCCAGTATTTCGACCTCCTACGGGAAAATTGTCACATCTAAACCTAACCCTAACCCTCCCCCTAACCCTACGCAACCGTATGATGATGATGATAGACACCCTACGCATCCCTACACGCAACCGTATGATGATGATAGACACCCTACGCGCAACCGTATGATGATAGGTAACCCTAGACGCAACCCTACGCAGCCCTACACGCACCCGGATGATGATAGGTAAGTATGTCATTTGATTCGTGACTTTTTCCGCGACTTGTTTTGAGTTTGGCGAAGGGACATAACTCCCGCTAAGCCGGCCGAAGCAGTCCAGCTTACCGGCCAAATTTGCCAGTAGAGCCAAAAACTGTCATTAGACTTACTGAGACGATAAGGCTAAAGTTATTATTATTAAACAAACTTACCAACAAATTGAGTGCCACTGAGGTGGGTGACGTGTGAGTTAACAGCTATTTGTCTCAGTATGACCCAATCTTGCAGCCACAGCAGAAAATATTGAGAGATCAACGATCAACACAAACAACAAGGACAGGCCTGCCTAGGGCCCAGGGTTGCTGCAGTCTCTAGTGACGCCGCCATAGCTGTCTGACTAAATACCGGCCAGTAACCGAATCAAAATAGCTGGATGGCTTGGCCACAGGAAAGGGACGGGTCCTAAACATTGACCGGCTCCGCGATTCTTCTGATCGTTGTGGGATGGCGAAACATGACAGACTACGCTTACTACTTGTAGTTGAGGTAAAAGCACCGTTTTTTCCGTTTTCTTGGAGACGTAAGCTGCGGGAGTATTAATGGGTGTGCAATGACATCGATTCCTATACCAGTAAACCAACTAAATATACACACTCTTTATTTTAAAGTATTTGTTTGTATACAGTTTTTCATAATATAAATTATAACTGAAGTGAAAAGTAATGAACGAGCGGACCAACTGGCAAGTATCGCGCTACCGCCTTGTAGGAGGAAACGTCGACAGAGGAAATATTATCAAAGAAGACACAAATAAATTACACAATGTATTGCCTGGCAAATTTCGCTGTATCTCGTCAAGTGCATACTACAGGAACAATTATATAAATGAAGAAAATAAGTAAATCCTTTATAACTGAAGTACAATTTTAACAACGATGAAACATGTTAAGTTCTGGAGATAGTTGCGACATATATGCATACATACACACAAAGTTAGGTTGTCGACAGATTATCCCCAGTGTACATCGAACCATTCAGTGCTCAAGTGCTCACATCCCCTCCTGAGTAAATCCCGCAGCGTGTAGCAGCTCGCGAAACCAGTTCTGTGTTGGTTTCTTGTTCTTCTTTGGCTTCCTGCATAGTGCTCTTGTCTGGCCTCAGACTTTATAATATGCCGTTCCTGCAGTCTGGTCACTGTTGCAGATTCACAGTCATCACTTAGTTCTCGTCCATTGCTCATCCGGCCACCACAGTAGCTTTACCAGCAAACCGATCAGCTTGATCATTTCTCTGCACACCTGCGTATTCTGGCACAAATGTGAAACTGATAACTGTTAGCCTCGACAGCTTTAGAGACTTTAGCCACGGTCTTCAGATCCAGTCCTTCTCTATCTTCCTGACATACATACCTACATACATAAACACACACAACGCGCACCCAGACATACACACATACACAGACAAACACACACAATCATACAGACACCCACATAGTCACACACATATCTACACACATACATACAAACATATACACACATTCGCAGAGGCACAGACACACACAAACATACACAGACACAAACACACACATATACCAATACACAAACACACATAGACACACACATAGCCACATACACACATAGACACTCACTCACACAGACATTACTGGGTAGTGTCAGCATGGAAAACATTGGCACAGATGGCTGCTATGTGGGTGGACACAGATGGCTGCTGCATGGGTGGACAGAGCACAAGTGGGTCCAGATGAGCTAGGATGTCGATAGGGTTAAACGTCTTCTTCTTCTTCGCGTTCACTGGCTGTAAACTGCGGCGGAAAGTTCTGGTTTTTAGTCCGCTGACTTTAGTCTTGATCCTGAATCTGAGAGACTTCTGGTCATTTCCCTGGTCTCTGGGTAGTAAGATCGGACGCCCACGTGTATTGTTTCTCACGTAAAAAAATCTTTTGGCCTCTGGAAATCGGAAAGGGTAGTCTAACGGCGCTGCCTAGGCAACAAATTTAGAGTTAACAATCTACCCAAAGTATTTCAGGATCCTCGCCACTGCGCTGAGATTCTTCGGACTCAGGTTTGAGATGGAAGCTGAATGGAACACTTATGGGTAACTACCTTCGTGTTATGATGTTGATTTGTTGTTCAAATATCAAACATACTTAACTGACAAGAACATATTTAGGCGACGTTTATAAGGCACATATTTTGTAATAAAGTCCCCACCCACCACCAACCCCTTATTTTTCTCTCTGCGCAACAGTAGGGCCTACCGGCATTTCGGTAAGGTCTAATTGTTGAATGATCACTACTGTAACCTACCGTACCAGACACTCCCTAGTGAGTACTGGCCCCAATTTTCTAGTAGAGAAAAAGCCTGTATGTTGGTAGTATTTCCATAACAACATTCGAATCATAAAATAACACACGCCAGAAAGAAACGATCTTTTTTCTCAACACGTGCCAGGAATGGAGAGCGACTGAAATAAATGTTACAATTGGACAGTTGCTGCTGCAGCGAAAGACCTACATGACCCAATATACAATGCCAGAGGGACTGATTGCTGTTGATAGAATCGGGGACTACAACACTAGCGAAATGCTTCAACGCGAAGGAAATAATGTGAAGATAACAACGACAAAATGAAGACGACTAAGAAATAATACGAACAAATATGTAATCATGCTTTCTACTTCTGTCTATGAGTGCCGATCAATACACTTTCTGTTACTTGATTAATTGTAATCAGGAGGTATGTTGCTGTATTTATAACAACCACGTTAGTGCCGCTGACTGCTACCTCAGTGACCTCTGACCCTCCATGCAGACGCATACGAGCAGCGCCTTATCTGTGCCTGTGGGAACGACAACAGGCAGGCCCCGGCGGTCCCGCATCTAGTCTACTAAACAGACTTTCACCAACTGTCATCCCGTCACATTTCCAGCTCACAGAGTTTACTCAGCAACAGCCATGTACAGGCGACTGGCCCAGTGTCTCTCCCGCCACTGCCCACAAGTGTCAGGTATGTCGATATCATCCACTTCCAGTCTTCTTCCCCAGCTGGTCTATGACTCTAACTCTATGTACGTGTTGTCCCCAGTGTCAGTGAGTTTATTAACTCTTTCAGGTCCAGGAATTTTTACAGACTTGGTCCACATTAATTTCCTTTTACAAAATGGCAGGGGGTGGTGTGCAAAAAAGACAATAGAGAATGTAATATACTTTAGGGATACTAGTGAAGTTTTATATTATGGGTTTTTACTTATGAAACCATGGCAGCTAGATAGAGATTAAAATTACAAATCCAACGGTAACTCATTGAAGCCTGTAAGTCGATTCTAAGCGGAGATATTAACATTTTAGTGGAAGATACCACCACAGACAAAATGCTGAATTCCCTAACAGCTGATCGCTCAGCTGTCGCTGGCGTAAACTGATCGTCTGAATCACTTTCCGAAAAATCTAAATTTTCATTATCATTTTCACAATTAAAAACATCTGACTGAAACAATTTCAGAGCTGTGGTCGTAGAAAGATGCATTCTGCGACCTGTGCTTGTGGTTGGAACATAAGTATTCATTGCACTCGAAAACAAACTTAGAAAATGCACTGTTGAAAATAATGTAGCTATAAATCCGATCAATCTGTGCACATGTCTTGGGATATGGAATGTTATTAATGGGAAATTGTTAATCTTCCCTGAATACTTTAATGGTAGTTCCAAACATTATAAACAAGTACGGAGCCGTGTGCGAAGCCATATGTACGGGACACATAACTGACGCAGAGAGTGTTGTTTAGGCAAATCGGAACTTCCTAGTCAACACTCACAGCATTGCTCAGGCCTTAACTCTTTGAGTCCCAGGGGATTTAGCATCACAGACCCAGGGGGTAGTGAAGACAGTAATAAAATCAGCGCATCCTGCGTCCATTGGGCTTGTAGGTAAAAACCTCTGAACGTGTGATGCGTTCCTTGGGACTCAAAGAGTTAAAGACTTCATTATTAGTAATACTAACAAACTGGTAAGTGGGAACTTTACATGTTTTAGGCACTGATTACCACTCATGACACAGTAAATCAAGAGGGGTTATGGAGGATTATGGATAAATTTGGTTGCCCACACAAGTTCATCCAGATAGTGCGTCCGTTTCATGATGGCATGCAAGCAAGAGTGCAGGATAACGGCCAACTGTCAGAGTCCTGTCCTGTCACAAACGGAGTCAAACAGAGCTGCGTGCTTGCACCATCACTGTTTAGTCTGTTACTTTCAGCCATGCTGACTGATGCATTTGTAAATGATCACACTGGAGTCGACGTAAATTGCCGCATGGATGGAAAGTTGTTCAACCTCAGGAGGCTGAAAGCAAAAAGAAAAACTAAATCAGACACCATCAGCGAGCTCCTGTTTGCTGACAATTGTGCGCTTTTTGCCAACACAGAAGCAGATATGCAGCATAACATGGACACATTCAGTGATGCCTGTACTAACTTTAGGCTCACCATCAACAAAGATAAAACTGTAGCCATACAACAGCCAGCCCTAGGGCAAAGATACATCGAGCCCAATATCACAGTGAAAGACCACAAATTAAATGTCGACAGGAAATTTACTTATCTAGGCAGCACCATTTTACCGAGCGCCACAATTGATGACGAAGTCAATGCAAGGATCTCTAGGGCTAGCGTTGTCTTTGGCAGATTGTACAAACATGTTTGGAACAGAAGTGTCATAACCCTGCAGTCAAAACTTAAAGTATACAGAGCAGTTGCTGTAACTACACTGCTGTACACATGCAAAACATGGATTGTATACCAGCGCCAGGCTAGAAAGTTAAACTATTATCACACAGTCTGCCTTAGAAAACTAATGCAGATAAGATGGGAAGACAAAGTACCTGATAACGAAGTCCTTGAGGAAGCAGCCAGGCCCAGCATCCACACTTTACTGACCCAGTATAAAATTTGTTGGGCTGGTCATGTGGCATGCATGCCAGATTACAATCCCCCCTCCCTCCACCCCCCCCCCCCCCCCCCCCCCAAAAAAAAAACTCTTCTGTGGTGAGCTGTAAAATGGGAAATGTTCCCAAGGCGGGCATACCACACACACACACACAAAACGCTTAAAGGAGACCTTGAAGTCTTCACTCAAAGCATTTGTGATGAATGACATCAGTTGGGAGGCTGCCTCTCAAGACTGAAATGCAAGAACTTGTCCAAGAACTTTTTGGGCCTGCATCAGCCTCATCAGTCATCTTTGTACTCATACTTGATGAAAAAGATTAAACAGATCCGATGTATTCTTCAGCCTACATCATTAAACAGATCTGATGTATTCTTCAGCCTACATCATTAAACAGATCTGATGTATTCTTCAGCTTACATCATTAAACAGATCCAATGTATTCTTCAGCTTACATCATTCAACAGATCCGATGTATTCTTCCGCTTACATCATTAAACAGATCCAATGTATTCTTCAGCTTACATCATTAAACAGATCCAATGTATTCTTCAGCTTACATCATTAAACAGATCCGATGTATTCTTTAACCTACATCATTAAACAAATCTGATGTATTCATTAACCCACATTATTAAACAGGTATGATGTATTCATCAACCCACATCATTAAACACATCTGATCTATTCATCAACCCACATCATTAAAGAAATCTGATGTATTTATCAACCCACATCATTAAACAAATCTGATGTATTCATCAACCCTCATCATTAAACAAATCTGATGTATTCATCAACCCACATCATTAAACAAATCTGATGTATTCATCAACCGACATCATTAAACAGATCTGATGTTTTCATCAACCCATATCATTAAAAAAATCTGATGCATTCATCAACCCACATCATTAAACATATCTGATGTTTCATCAACCTATATCATTAAACAGATCTGATGTTTCATCAACCTATATCATTAAACAGATCTGATGTTTCATCAACCTATATCATTAAACAGATCTGATGTTTCATCAACCTATATCATAAAACAAATCTGATGTATTCATCAACTCACATCATTAAACAGATCTGATGTTTTCATCATTTCACATCATTAAACAGATCTGATGTATTCATCATTCCATAACATTAAACAAATGTGATGTATTCATCAACCCACATCATTAAACAGATCTGATGTATTCATCATTCCACATCATTAAACAAATCTGATGTTTCATCAACCTATATCATTAAACAGATCTGATGTTTCATCAACCTATATCATTTTAACATATGGCTGTGAATCCTGGACAATCGGTAGGCAGGCCAAACAATTTCTAGAGGCCTCAGAGATGTGGTTTTACAGAAGAATGCTTAGAATACCTTGGACAGCCAAAAAGAGCAACCAAGAGGTTTTGAAAGAGGGAAAATAAAACATGTTGTGACCACTGGAAAGATCTGTGGAAGGAGGTTTGGAGGAAGACAAAGAGAGAAGATGCTTGACAGTCTTGTTGCATGGCATGGAGGTGTGTCAGTTCGTGTACCGACACACCTCCATGCCATGCTGCAGGAGATCGCAGATAATGGAGAGGCATGATCGCCGACGCCAGTCGGCAGGGCCCCTGATGATGATGATATCATTAAACAGATCTGATGTTTCATCAACCTATATCATTAAACAAATCTGATCTATTCATCATTCCACATCATTAAACAGATCTGATATATTCATCAACCCACATCATTAAACAGATCTGATGTATTCATCAACCCTCATCATTAAACAAATCTGATGTATTCATCAACCCTCATCATTAAACAAATCTGATGTATTCATTAAACCACATCATTAAACAGATCTGATTTATTCATTAAACCACATCATTAAACAGATCTGATGTATTTATCAACCTACATCCTTAAACAAATCTGATGTATTCATCAACCCTCATCATTAAACAAATCTGATCTATTCATCAACCCACATCATTAAACAAATCTGATGTATTCATCAACACACATTATTAAACAGATATGATGTATTCATTAAACCACATCGTTAAACAGAACTGATGTATTCATCAACCCACATCATTTAACAAATCTGATGCATTCATCAACCCACATCATTAAACAAATCTGATATATTCATCAACCCACATCATTGAACAAATCTGATGTATTCATCAACCCACATCATTGAACAAATCTGATGTATTCATCAACCCTCATCATTGAACAAATCTGATGTATTCATCAACCCACATCATTGAACATATCTGATGTATTCATCAACCCTCATCATTAAACAAATCTGATGTATTCATCAACCCTCTTCATTAAACAAATCTGATGTATTCATCAACCCACATCATTGAACAAATCTGATGTATTCATCAACCCTCATCATTAAACAAATCTGATGTTTCATCAACCCACATCATTGAACAAATCTGATGTATTCATTAACCCCTATCATTAAAAAATCTGATGTATTCATTAACCCATGTGGTTAAACAGATCTGCTGTATTCATTAAACCACATCATTGAACAAATCTGATGTATTCATCAACCCTCATCATTAAACAAAGCTGATGTATTCATCAACCCCTATCATTAAAAAAATCTGATGTATTCATCAACCACTATCATTAAAAAAATCTGATGTATTCATTAAACCACATCATTAAACAGATCTGATATATTCATCAACCCACATCATTAAACAAATCTGATGTATTCATCAACGCATGTGGTTAAACAGATCTGATGTATTCATCAACCTACATCATTTAACAAATCTGATGTATTCATCAACCTACATCATTAAACAGATCTGATGTATTCATCAACCTACATCATTAAAAAGATATTATGTTATCATCAACCCACATCATTAAACAGATCTGATGTATTCATCAACCCACATCATTAAACAGATCTGATGTATTCATCAACCCACATCATTAAACAGATCTGATGTATTCATCAACCCACATCATTAAACAGATCTGATGTATTCATCAACCTACATCATTAAACAGATCTGATGTATTCATCAACCCACATCATTAAATAAATCTGATGTATTCATCAACCCACATCATTAAATAAATCTGATGTATTCATCAACCCAAATCATTAAACAAATCTGATGTATTCATCAACCCAAATCATTAAACAAATCCAATGTATTCATCAACCCTCTCCATGCCATGAGAACAAGTTGTCGAGAACCTTCTCAGATCGTCATCCTGCACCTCATTTTCCACAAAGTTGCAGTAAGTTTCCTCTACCTCTCCTAGAACATGTGCCAGTTTGAGTCTCTTCTCATAACTTCATAACTTGCCCCCTTCCCCCCCCCCCCCCCCCCCCCCCCCCAAAAGAAAAAGAATTATCATGTCTTTTGACTGTCACCATTTTTAAGAAACATCTAAGTTACTCATTTTGGCTAAGGAATTTAAAGCATTTTCCTGTGAAACCCTAATTCTGAAGCCTGGAGAAACTATTTGGCGTGTTTAGTATTGTCTAGGATTTACACCCATTAGTTAAAACTGGCAGATTAATCAGATCATTTCTCCTTGCCAAACCTATATCTAGGATTGTGATGTTAGAATTTACTCAAGAATCATTTCTCCTTGCCAAACCTATATCTAGGATTGTGATGTTAGAATGTACTCAAGAATCATTTCTCCTTGCCATACCTAAATCTATGATTGTGATGTTAGAATGTACTCAAGAATCATTTCTCCTTGCCAAACCTTTATCTAGGATTGTGATGTTAGAATGTACTCAAGAATCATTTCTCCTTGCCAAACCTATATCTAGGATTGTGATGTTAGAATGTACTCAAGAATCATTTCTCCTTGCCAAACCTATATCTAGGATTGTGATGTTAGAATGTACTCAAGAATCATTTCTTCTTGCCAAACCTATATCTAGGATTGTGATGTTAGAATGTACTCAAGAATCATTTCTCCTTGCCAAACCTTTATCTAGGATTGTGATGTTAGAATGTACTCAAGAATCATTTCTCCTTGCCAAACCTATATCTAGGATTGTGATGTTAGAATGTACTCAAGAATCATTTCTCCTTGCCAAACCTATATCTAGGATTGTGATGTTAGAATGTACTCAAGAATGATTTCTCCTTGCCAAACCTATATCTAGGATTGTGATGTTAGAATGTACTCAAGAATCATTTCTCCTTGCCAAACCTATATCTAGGATTGTGATGTTAGAATGTACTCAAGAATCATTTCTCCTTGCCAAACCTATATCTAGGATTGTGATGTTAGAATATACTCAAGAATCATTTCTCCTTGCCAAACCTATATCTAGGATTGTGATGTTAGAATGTACTCAAGAATCATTTCTCCTTGCCAAACCTATATCTAGGATTGTGATGTTAGAATGTACTCAAGAATCATTTCTCCTTGCCAAACCTATATCTAGGATTGTGATGTTAGAATATACTCAAGAATCATTTCTCCTTGCCAAACCTATATCTAGGATTGTGATGTTAGAATGTACTCAAGAATCTTTTGTCTAAACAGATGTTTATGCCCAGCATACCCGGAGAGCATCCTGCCTGCCTGGCTCACTTCCAGCAATGCCAGCTTGTGATTTTCAGCCACAGCCACATGAGGTAATTGTAGGCAGCATCAGAAACCATTTTCCCACACGTACAAGAAAACATTCTCCCACACGTACAAGAAACCATTCTCCCACATGTACAAGAAACCATTCTCCCACATGTACAAGAAAACATTCTCCCACATGAACAAGAAACCATTCTCCCACATGTACAAAAAACCATTCTCCCACATGTACAAGAAACCATTCTCCCACATGTACAAGAAACCATTCTCCCACATGTACAAGAAAACATTCTCCCACATGTACAAGAAACCATTCTCCCACACACACAAGAAACCATTCTCCCACATGTGCAAGAAACCATTCTACCACATGTACAAGAAACCATTCTCCCCAGTCCTTTTCCACCACCACCAACACATGAAAACGCACATATATTTGCATTCTTGCATCTGCTTACATGATATAAAACACGCACACACATACACATTCACACTCGTGCATGTACACTCACATATTCATACACATACGCATAAACACACTCTCAGACATACCTATACATCAAATTCATACGTACACACATATGCAAAAACATCCATACATTCACACACTCAGTATATGTACCCATGGATGCAGGTACACACACACAGAACTACATCCACACATGTGTACTCAGTGATGCAATGAGCATGATCTGGAGGGTTCTGGCAGGTTCAGTGCAAAGGCAATGGCTTGAATCATTACAGGACCAATGAGCATGATCTGGAGGGTTCTGGCAGGTTCTGGCAGGTTCAGTGCTAGGGCAATGGCTTGAATCATTACAGGACCAATGAGCATGATCTGGAGGGTTATGGCAGGTTCTGGCAGGTTCAGTGCTAGGGCAATGGCTTGAATCATTACAGGACCAATGAGCATGATCTGGAGGTTCTGGCAGGTTCTAGCAGGTTCAGTGCAAAGGTAATGGCTTGGATCATTACAGGACCACTGAGCATAAGTCACATCCATACACTCACATACTCATACATACACACATGCACAAACATCCATACACTCACATATTCATACATACACACATGCACAAACATCCATACACTCACATATTCATACACACACATGCGCAAACATCCATGCATTTACATACTCATACATACACACACATGCACAAACATCCATACATTCACATACTCATACATACAAACACACACACATGTACAAACATCCATACATTTACATACTCCTACACACATATGCACACACATGCACAAACATCCATACATTCACATGTTCATATACACACACATGCACAAACATATATATATATATATATATATATTATATATATATATATATATATATATATATATATATATATATATATATATATATATATATATTCATACACTCATACATAACACACATGCACATACATTCATACATACACACATCCATGTACATCCATTCATTCACACACATACACCCACACATATGCACAAACATCCATACATTCGCAGACTCATACATACACACACCCATGTACAACCATCCATTCATTCACACACATACGTACACACACATGCAGAAACATCCATTCATTCACACACATACACCAACACATATGCACAAACATCCGTACATTCACACACTCATACATGCACACACACTCATGCACAACCATCCATACATTCACACACATACACCCACACACATGCACAAACATCGGTACATTGACACTCACTCACACACACACACACTCACACACACACACACATGCCCAAACATCCATACATTCATACACACATACACCTACATGAACAAACATTCATACACTCATGCATACACACGCACATTGAAGCAGAGTCTTGGTAATGTAACTTGTAGCTGTGTTGTGGCATGTCATTGTTCTCATCCCTTATTACAACTATCAAGTCACAAAGCTACAGTGGCATTCAGTTTTCTTCTTCTTTTGTTATCTCACTGATACCAGGTTGTAGACCAGTGTCTTGGTTTTCTGAATTTGTCTTGCACCTCTCAGGTGGCTCGAGTGTTGGATTCGTTAATCTTTTTGCAGGTTTCAGCTACACCATTTATCCATCTCTTTCTTGGTCTTCCTCTCGCCTTCCTCATTCATTTTTAAAAAAATATTAACAGGAAACTAATTGCTTTATATCTGATGATGATGATAGTGATGATGATGATAGTGATGATGATGCTGAAACAGCCAGTGGTGCATGATGGAGCCATGTTGCTTGTGATGTTGCAGGGCCCAGACTTGCAGACAGTCAAGAACATTCGCAAGAACAAGCTGATCCCTGGGCTGATCACCTACTACAAGGAGCCGGTCTACGTCCACCAGGGACACATGCAGTACCTGTGGGACACCAGTGGCAGGCGCTATCTGGATCTGTTTGCTGGCATTGTCACTGTCAGTGTTGGCCATTGCCACCCGTAAGTTGTTGACATGCCAATCAGCATGCCTAGAAATCACACAGCTAGAAGATGTAGGGAACATTCTAGCTATTTGATGTCAAGGCAGATGTTGATCAAGCAGTAGTACACTACATCAGGGCATAAGTTGATCAAGCAGTAGTTAATTACATCAGGGCACTAGTTGATCAAGCAGTAGTACACTACAACAGGGCATAAGTTGATCAAGCAGTAGTACACTACATCAGGGCATAAGTTGATCAAGCATTAGTACACTACATCAGGGCATAAGTTGATCAAGCAGTAGTACACTACATCAGGGCATAAGTTGATCAAGCAGTAGTACACTACATCAGGGCATATGTTGATCAAGCAATAGTAAACTACATCAGGGCAGATGTTGATCAAGCAATAGTAAACTACATCAGGGCAGATGTTGATCAAGCAATAATAAACTACATCAGGGCAGATGTTGATCAAGCAATAATAAACTACATCAGGGCAGATGTTGATTAACAAAAATAAACTACATCAGGGCAGATGTTGATTAACAAAAATAAACTATATTAGGGAACTAGATAGTATTGACCATGTTGTTGATGGCTTTTATAGTGATGGGAATTATCGTTGTCATTGTGACTGTAAATGTTACATTGTTAGTTGTGCGATATGTAGAATCGTATGGTACTAGGTCATGTACAATGATAAATTTCTGCTACATATAGAACAGTATAGTTCTACCAAATATACAACAGTATAGCTTTAGTACATACTTAACAGCATTTACATTACTGAAAGAACATTCTAGAGCCATCACTGTAGAAGTATTACAGGTGTAAATCAGATAGTTGTATTACATGTGTACATCAGATAGTTGTATTACAAGTGTACATCAGATAGTTGTATTACAGGTGTACATCAGATAGTTGTATTACAGGTGTACATCAGATAAGTATATTACTGGTGTACATCAGATAGTTGTATTACAGGTGTACATCAGATAGTTGTATTACAGGTGTACATCAGATAGTTGTATTACAGGTGTACATCAGATAGTTGTATTACAGGTGTACATCAGATAAGTATATTACTGGTGTACATCAGATAGTTGTATTACAGGTGTACATCAGATAGTTGTATTACAGGTCTACATCAGATAGTTGTATTACAGGTGTACATCAGATAAGTATATTACAGGTGTACATCAGATAGTTGTATTACAGGTGTACATCAAATAAGTATATTACAGGTGTACATCAGATAGTTGTATTACAGGTGTACATCAGATAGTTGTATTACAGGTCTACATCAGATAAGTATATTACAGGTGTACATCAGATAGTTGTATTACAGGTGTACATCAGATAGTTGTATTACAGGTGTACATCAGATAGTTGTATTACAGGTCTACATCAGATAGTTGTATTACAGGTGTACATCAGATAAGTATATTACAGGTGTACATCAGATAGTTGTATTACAGGTGTACATCAAATAAGTATATTACAGGTGTACATCAGATAGTTGTATTACAGGTGTACATCAGATAGTTGTATTACAGGTCTACATCAGATAAGTATATTACAGGTGTACATCAGATAGTTGTATTACAGGTGTACATCAGATAGTTGTATTACAGGTCTACATCAGATAAGTATATTACTGGTGTACATCAGATAGTTGTATTACAAGTCTACATCAGATAAGTATATTACTGATGTACATCAGATAGTTGTATTACAGGTGTACATCAGATAGTTGTATTACAAGTCTACATCAGATAAGTATATTACTGGTGTACATCAGATAGTTGTATTACAGGTGTACATCAGATAGTTGTATTACAAGTCTACATCAGATAAGTATATTACTGGTGTAGATCAGATAGTTGTATTACAGGTGTACATCAGATAGTTGTATTACAAGTCTACATCAGATAAGTATATTACTGGTGTACATCAGATAGTTGTATTACAGGTGTACATCAGATAGTTGTATTACAAGTCTACATCAGATAAGTATATTACAGGTGTACATCAGATAGTTGTATTACAGGTGTACATCAGATAGTTGTATTACAAGTATACATCAGATAAGTATATTACAGGTGTACATCAGATAGTTGTATTACAAGTCTACATCAGATAAGTATATTACAGGTGTACATCAGATAGTTGTATTACAAGTCTACATCAGATAAGTATATTACTGGTGTACATCAGATAGTTGTATTACAGGTGCACCTCAGATAACTGTTTTACATGTGTACCTCAGATAAGTGTATTACAGGTCTACATCAGATAGTTGTATTACAGGTGTACATTGATTTGATTTGATTCAAGAACCGACATCACAACACCTGGGGCATTCCCATAAGCGCTCCATCCCCCATCTTCAGCAGCCAGTGAAGAGTTCTGATACTAATGGTGCCAGTAGCATTCTGATTAAACATCTGTCTTGCCTTTCATCACTCCCCCTGCATCAATCTCACCAGACTGTGGTGATCCATCTTTCCTCTGAACTGTACACGCTCTCCCACAAGGCACTAAACATGTCTACCTTATCATGTATCAGTATTCCACCAAGTTGAGCAGAGCCAGCCAATCTGTCTGCCTGTTCATTTCCCAACACACCGGCATTCCCAGGTGAAAAAATCCAGACAATACTTCTCACCTGTGTCCTCCGCAGCGAAGCATGCCACTCTGCACTAAGCATGCCTGTCCTGATCTTTCTCAGCATGCTTTCTGAGTCAGTTACAATCACAATGTGTGTGTGTATCGTGTTCTCTAACCTCACTCTGTTATAAGCGTTCTCAAGATCCAGTCCTACCGCCATAGTTTCCTGTCTGTTCTGGAACCCTTCATAGACATCAAAAGCAAAAGTGGCTGCATTTGCCCATTTGTCCTTTCCTGGCCTGTAGCTTCCCAGACCTCTTGGAAGAAGCTTCCCCCTTTTCAAAAATGCTTACAGTTTTACAGCAACTATCTTCTCCAAGACCTTCCCAAATGTAGGTGCCAGCTAATTCTTTTCTAACTGCTTCCCTGATGTCTACATCATTATGATCTGTCTGAGCTATAAGCCTATGGCGAAAAGCCTCCCCTTTCTCTTTGTCTGTTGTCATACGCACACCATCGTCTCTACAAATTGTTCAGACTGTCATAGGCCGATCTTTTCTTTGCATCTGCCTTTGCAGTTTCCAGAATTTTTCCAATGTTTTATCGCCTTCCATATCATTCACAAAAGTTTCCCACTTTGCTCTTTTGGCCTCTGCAGCACAGCGTTTGAAAACCTCCACCTAATCTTTTTTTCACATTCTCCGTCATCTCCACTTCCTCTCGTGAGCTTGAGGGTGTCTGTCGTACTTTCTTTAGCTACTTGACTGCGGCTCTCTTTGCCTTCCATGCCTGTTCTACTTCTAGAGTCCACCATGAGAGCTGTAGAAAATTAGTTCTGGCAGTTCTGTTGCATGCTCCCTGTCTAAGGCGTCCAAGTAGGTTGTTGGTCCACTTATACCAGAAGGTCTTGCGTGCTCTCCCAGCCTTTAACTTACTGGGTTTAGAAATCTGGACTGAACATGGTGTACATCAGATAGTTGTATCACATGTGTACATCAGATAGTTGTATCACATGTGTACATCAGATAGTTGTATCATAGGTGTACATCAGATAGTTGTATCCCATGTGTACATCAGATAGTTGTATCACATGTGTACATCAGATAGTTGTATCATAGGTGTACATCAGATAGTTGTATCACAGGTGTACATCAGATAGTTGTGCTACAGGTGTACATCAGATAGTTATGTTACAGGTGTACATCAGTTGTGTTACAGGTGTATTTGAGATGAGCTGACATGTATGGCACACTTTCAGTACCGTTGTGGCAGCAGCAGAGAAACAGTTGAGAAAACTCTGGCACACAACCAACATCTACCTGCACCCAAAGATCCATGAGTATGCCGACCAGCTGGTGTCCAAATTGCCTGGAGATCTGAAGGTCTGTCCTTCCAGGAATACATGTTGCCAGTTGCACCTCTGACATGTTCACAAAGAACTGTTGTCTAAGTCTACTGTTGTCTTAGTCTACTGTTGTCTCAGTCTACTGTTGTCTAAGTCTACTGTTGTTGTCTAAATCTACTGTTGTCTAAGTCTACTGTTGTCTAAGTCTACTGTTGTCCAAGTCTACTTTTGTCTAAGTCTACTGTTGTCTAAGTCTACTGTTGTCTAAGTCTACTGTTGTCGAGGTCTACTGTTGTCCAAGTCTACTGTTACTGTTGTCCAAGTCTACTGTTGTCTGAGTCTACTGTTGTCTAAGTCTACTGTTGTCTAAGTCTACTGTTGTCCAAGTCTACTGTTGTCCAAGTCTACTGTTGTCTTAGTCTACAGTTGTCTAAGTCTACTGTTGTCTAAGTCTACTGTTGTCTAAGTCTACTGTTGTCTAAGTCTACTGTTGTCCAAGTCTACTGTTGTCCAAGTCTACTGTTGTCTAAGTCTACTGTTGTCAATCTCCCCAGTGTAAATGTTAACCTCATCAATCTCCCCAGTGTAAATGTTGATTTGATCAGTCTCCCCACTGTAGGTGTTAATCTGATCAGTCTCCCCACTGTAAATGTTGATCTAGTCAATCACCCCAGTGTAAATGTTGATCTGATCAGTCTACCCAGTGTAAATGTTGATCTGATCAATCTCCCCAGTGTAAATGTTTATCTGGTCAATCAGCCCAGTGTAAATGTTGATCTGATCAGTCTCCCCAGTGTAAATGTTGATCTGATCAATCTCCCCAGTGTAAATGTTGATCTGATCAATCTCCCCAGTGTAAATGTTGATCTGGTCAATCTCCCCACGTAAATGTTGATCTGGTCAATCTCCTCACTGTAAATTTTGATCTGGTCAATCTCCTCACTGTAAATGTTGATCTGGTCAATCTCCCCAGTGTAAATGTTGATTTTATCAATCTCCCCAGCGTAAATGTTGATTTGATCAATCTCCCCTGTGTAAATGTTGATCTAGGCAATATCCCCAGAGTAAATGTTGATCTGATCAATCTCCCCTTTGTAAATGTTGATCTGATAAATCTATCCAGTGTAAATGTTGATCTGATTAATCTCCCCAGTGTAAATGTTGATCCGGTCAATCTCCCCACTGTAAATGTTGATCTGATCAATCTCCCCAGTGTAAATGTTGAGCTGATCAATCTCCCCAGTGTAAATGTTGATCTGATCAATCTCCCCGGTGTTAATGTTGATCTGGTCAATCTCCCCAGTGTAAATGTTGATCCGGTCAATCTCCCTAGTGTAAATGTTGATTTGGTCAATCTCCCCAGTGTAAATGTTGATCTGGTCAATCTCCCCAGTGTAAATGTTGATCTGGTTAATCTCCCCAGTGTGAATGTTGATCTCATCAATCTCCCCACTGTAATTGTTGATCTTATTGTTCTGTCCAGTGTAAATGTTGATCTCATTATTCTGTCCAGTGTAAATGTTGATCTTATCTTTCTATTCAGTGTAAATGTTGATCAAATCAACATTTACGCTGGGGAGATTGATAAAATCAACATTTACACTGGGGAGATTGACCAGATCAACATTTACAGTGAGGAGATTGACCAGATCAAAATTTACAGTGATCTCATTATTCTGTCCAGTGTAAATGTTGATCTTATCTTTCTATTCAGTGTAAATGTTCATTTTATCTTTCTATTCAGTGTAAATGTTGATCTCATCAGTCTCCTCAGTTTAAATGTTGATTTCATCAGTCTTCCTTGTGTAAATGTAAAAGTTGACTCTTTACATCTCTCCCACATGAATACTGACTTCACCAATCTCTCCAGGTGGTATATCTCACAAATTCAGGATCTGAAGCTAATGACCTGGCTGTGTTGATGGCAAGAATGCATACAGGAGTCTTTGAGGGCATTTCTCTCAGGTGGGTGTCGGTAATTTTCTCAGGTGGGTGTTAGGTATTTCTCTCAGGTTGGCGTTAGGTATTTCTCTCAGGTGGGTGTCAGGCATTTCTCTCAGGTGGGTGTCAGGCATTTCTCTCAGGTGGGTCTCAGGCATTTCTCTCAGGTGGATGTCAGGCATTTCTCTCAGGTGGGTGTCAGGCATTTCTCTCAGGTGGGTGTTAGGTATTTCTCTCAGGTTGGCGTTAGGTATTTTTCTTAGGTGGGTGTCAGGCATTTTTCTCAGGTGGGTGTCAGGCATTTCTCTCAGGTGGGTGTTAGGCATTTCTCTCAGGTTGGCGTTAGGCATTTCTCTCAGGTGGGTGTCAGGCATTTCTCTCAGGTGGGTGTCAGGCATTTCTCTCAGGTGGGTGTCAGGCATTTCTCTCAGGTGGGTGTCAGGCATTTCTCTCAGGTGGGTGTCAGGCATTTCTCTCAGGTGGTTGTTAGGTATTTCTCTCAGGTTGGCGTTAGGTATTTCTCTCAGGTAGGTGTCAGGAATTTCTCTCAGGTGGGTGTTAGGTATTTCTCTCAGGTGGGTGTCAGGCATTTCTCTCAGGTGGGTGTCAGGCATTTCTCTCAGGTGGGTGTCAGGCATTTCTCTCAGGTGGGTGTCAGGCATTTCTCTCAAGTGGGTGTTAGCTATTTCTCTCAGGTGGGTGTCAGGCATTTCTCTCAGGTGGGTGTTAGGCATTTCTCTCAGGTGGGTGTCAGGCATTTCTCTCAGGTGGGTGTTAGGTATTTCTCTCAGGTGGGTGTCAGGCATTTCTCTCAGGTGGGTGTTAGGTATTTCTCTCAGGTGGGTGCCAGGCATTTCTCTCAGGTGGGTGTCAGGTATTTCTCTCAGGTGGGTGTCAGACATTTCTCTCAGGTGGGTGTCAGGCATTTCTCTCAGGTATCCCTAACGGATCAGGTGATAAAATAGTTTTAGTACATCTGTTGTAACATCACAGTCAGTAATCCAGCAAATAAAATGAAATACATTTTTTAAAATTTTAAAACACAAATGCAGTTCAAATAGGACAATAATTTCATTGACACAATGATGACTAACACTTTAGTATAAATGATTCTATATGTATTGACACAATGATGACTAACACTTTGGTATAAGTGATTCTATATGTATTGACACAATGATGACTAACACTTTAGTATAAGTGATTCTATATGTATTGACACAATGATGACTAACACTTTAGTATAAGTGATTCTCTATGTATTGACACAATGATGACTAACACTTTAGTATAAGTGATTCTATATGTATTGACACAATGATGACTAACACTTTAGTATAAGTGATTCTATATGTATTGACACACAATGATGACTAACACACTTTAGTATAAGTGATTCTATATGTATTGACACAATGATGACTAACACTTTAGTATAAGTGATTCTATATGTATTGACACAATGATGACTAACACTTTAGTATAAGTGATTCTATATGTATTGACACAATGATGACTAACACTTTAGTATAAGTGATTCTATACGTATAGACACAATGATGACTAACACTTTAGTATAAGTGATTCTGTACGTATTGACGCAATGATGACTAACACTTTAGTATAAGTGATTCTGTGCGTATGGACACAATGATGACTAACACTTGACTGTTATAGAATATTTGTAAACACGAAATCCTTCAAACAAAGTTTGTGCAGTATTCTCTTTTAGGTACAAGAGGAAGTCCATTAGTAAATTACAAGTGTTGTTTAAAAAAAAAACACACACACAAAACCAGGCAGTAACAACTTACAAACCATTTTTTAAAACACATTCTTTGTCCCTTTATTTGTGAACATAATTTCCACCATTGATGCACTTGTCCCATCATTTTATCAGTGAGCACCCCCTATTGCAGCTGTTACAGAGTCAACCGTTACTCACCTGTCACCTCTAATCATCTCTTCCACCCGCTGCATGGATGCGTCTGTTGCACTCTCAACAGGACGACCTGATCAAACTTCCTTAACAATCAAATTTAGAGCGTCCTTGAGAAAAATGTTTTGCCCAGGTATGCACCGCATTACAGGTTAAACATTTGTCAGCATAAACAGGAAGCATTTCCTTATGAGATTCTCTTGCAGGCAGCCCTTTTGGCCCCCCAAAAAAACAAACACAACAGCACGTTGTTCTTTGAGGGTACACTCCGTAAGTAGAGTTGCCATTTTATTTGTATGTTGTGAATGCACATGCAACACCCATCACCACCTAACGAATGGAGACATAAAGTTCAGTGTTGCTGTCACTTAATGACACCTTTAGAAACCCCAACTACATTTTCCTGTCATCTCGTAATGTAGTGATTCTCTCAGCTCTCTTCACTTCACACTTCTTAGGTACAGAGACAGTACAGACACTTGAACTTCTTGGATAAATACACGTTGTACACAGCTGATCGAGACGAAAATGTTTATTCCTTCCAACACCTGTTCACTGCCAGTGCACATAAGAAACTTTTTTAGAGGCGTAGATGTGGCCGATCTTGACTTATTCCTTCCAACACCTGTTCACTGTCAGTGCACATAAGGAACTTTTCTAGGGGCGTAGATGTGGCCGATCTTGACTTATTCCTTCCAACACCTGTTCCCTGCCAATGCACGAAAGGAACTTGTCTAGGGGCGTAGATGTGGCCAATCTTGACTTATTCCTTCCAACACCTGTTCCCTGCCAGTGCACGAAAGGAACTTGTCTAGGGGCGTAGATGTGGCCGATCTTGACCACTTGTAACACTATAAATAATTTTTCATACCTGGGCAAGAAGCCAACTCTCATCACTCCCAAGAAAACAAGGACACATCAGGTTTCCATTTTCTCACAGCTGTATCAAAACAAACATCAGCCTTGGCGTATTTTGTACTGACTGACTGGCCAGGTTTTTGTGGAACTTGCATTCACCTGTAGAACAGAAACTTGCTCGTAGACAATTCATTTGCGCAAGTGGCAAGTGACACTGCACATATTCTCCCCTTATTTACGACATCTTCTCCCCTCATTGCATCCATCCTTTAATGTCAGAAGTGGTGTTGTAATCTATGATTGTTGGCCTTCAACTTTTCTACAGGTGTCAGATATTTATCTCAGGCGTATGACAGATGTTTATGTAAGTAATGGGACAGGTAGTTCTGTCAGGTAGATGTGATATAATAATCTGAAATCTTACCTAGGGAAGGTGAAGATAGGGTCAAATGTTTTCTTTATAGTGGCCTGTCTGCTGTCACTTGGCCAGTCCCCACACTTTCTGGCAGTGTGGCTATGAACTTTTTTCGTCCTAGCTGCACATTTGATGTCTGGCAGTGTGGCTATGAACTTTTGTAGTCCTAGCTGCACAGTTGATGTCTGGCAGTGTGGCTATGAACTTTTGTAGTCCTAGCTGCACAGTTGATGTCTGGCTATGAACAATTGTAGTTCAGGTGGCACAGTTGATATTTCGCAGTGTGGCTGTGTACAGTTTTAGTCCAGACAGCAGTGAGGCTGTGAACTATTGTTACATGTGCCTGAACATAGTTCAGTTCTTTCAACTTCAATTTATTATATTTTATCATTGCTGAACTCTGGATGTTGTGTGGGAAATCCTTGAGTGTGAAGTGATGAAATGAGCCTGCATCATGTTGTTGACATGCCTCTTGAATTTAGATACTACTAACATCTCTGTGTTTTGTCATTGTTTTTTTTTTTTTTTTTACATTTGTTTGTTTTTGTATTCAGTTTATCTGTATTTACATTCAGTTTGTCTAATATCAAGTTTGGAACTCTCCAGAAATGGATATCATGGGGCCAGCCCATACTTAATGGGTGTGACAGCCCTGTCCACATGGCGCTACAACACTCCCACAGGATTTGGCTTTCACCACTCTGTGAACCCTGACCCCTACCGAGGGCCATGGGGAGGTAAACATTGCCGGGATTCTCCTGCTCAAGTAAGTTCAGCACAAAAGTACTTTCTCTTGTTTAAAATTGATGAGCATATCTTTTTTCTTCAGATAGATAGGTCTCATTAATGAGTTATTTCATGTTGTGGTAGCTGTCATAATGAGATATTACATTTTGTGTTAGCTCTAATTAATGAGATTTTTCATGTTGTGGTAGCTCACATGAATGAGATATTTTATATTGTGTTTGCTCTCATTATTGAGATATTTCATGTTGTGATAGGCCTTATCAATGAGATATTCAATGTTGTATTTAATAGTATGTTAGCTTTCATTAATGAGATATTTCATGTTGTGATAGGCCTTATCAATGAGATATTCAATGTTGTATTTAATAGTATGTTAGCTTTCATTAATGAGATATTTCATGTTGTGGTAGCTCACATGATTGAGATATTTTATATTTGTATATGTTGTGATAAGCCTCTGTAATGAATGATGCAGGGTAGCGTTGGAGAATCACCAGTGTCTGTTCCGAGGGGGGGGGGGGGGGGGGGGTTTCCCAACTTGAGTAAAACACAAGCTTGTAGATGGAGGGAAGGGGGGGGGGGGTTCCCACTTGAGTAGAGCACAAGCTTGTAGATGGGGGGGGGAGGGGTTCCCACTTGAGTAGAGCACAAGCTTGTAGATGGAAGGGAAGAGGGGGGGTCCCACTTGAGTAGAGCACAGGCTTGTAGATAGGGGGGGGGGGTTCCCACTTGAGTAGAGCACAAGCTTGTAGATAGGGGGGGGGGGGGTTGGTCCCCACTTGAGTAGAGCACCAGCTTGTAGATGGGGGGGGGGGGGGTCCCACTTGAGAAGAGCACAAGCTTGTAGATGGGAGGGGGGGGGGGTCCCACTTGAGTAGAGCACAAGCTTGTAGATGTAGGGGGGGGGGTCCCACTTGAGTAGAGCACAAGCTTGTTGATGGGGGGGGGGGGGTGTCCCCACTTGAGAAGAGCACAAGCTTGTAGATGGGAGGGGGGGGGGGGTCCCACTTGAGTAGAGCACAAGCTTGTAGATGTAGGGGGGGGGGGTCCCACTTGAGTAGATCACAGGCTTGTAGATGGGGGGGGGGGGGTGTCCCCACTTGAGAAGAGCACAAGCTTGTAGATGGGTGGGGGGGGGGGGGGTCCCACTTGAGTAGAGCACAAGCTTGTAGATGTAGGGGGGGGGGTCCCACTTGAGTAGAGCACAAGCTTGTTGATGGGGGGGGGGGGGGGAGGGTTCCACTTAAGTAGAGCACAAGTTTTGTAGATGGGGGGGGGGGGCCACTTGAGTAGAGCACAAGCTTGTAGATGGGGGGGGGGGGGGGTCCCACTTGAGTAGAGCACCAGCTTGTAGATGGGGGGGGGGGGGGAATCCCACTTGAGTAGAGCACAAGCTTGTAGATGGGGGGGGGGGGGGGCCACTTGAGTAGAGCACAAGCTTGTAGATGGGGGGAGGGGGGGGGAGTCCCACTTGAGTAGAGCACAAGCTTGTAGATGGGGGGGGGGGAATCCCACTTGAGTAGAGCACAAGCTTGTAAATGGGGGAGGGGGGAAGTCCCACTTGAGTAGAGCACAAGCTTGTAGATGGGGGAGGGGGGGGGGGTCCCACTTGAGTAGAGCATAAGCTTCAAGATGAGGGGGGGGGGGGGGGTCCCACTTGAGTAGAGCACAAGCTTGTAGATGGGGGGGGAGGGTCCCCACTTGAGTAGAGCACAGGCTTTTAGATGGGGGGGGGGGGTCCCACTTGAGTAGAGCACAAGCTTGTAGATGGGGGGGGGGGGTCCCACTTGAGTAGAGCACAAGCTTGTAGATGGATGGGGGGGGGTGTCCCACTTGAGTAGAGCACAAGCTTGTAGATGGGGGGGGGGGGTGTCCCACTTGAGTAGAGCACAAGCTTGTAGATGGGGGGGGGGTGTCCCCACTTGAGTAGAGCACAAGCTTGTAGATGGGGGGGGGGGGGTGTCCCACTTGAGTAGAGCACAAGCTTGTAGATGGGGGGGGGGGGGGGTCCCACTTGAGTAGAGCACAAGCTTGTAGATGGATGGGGGGGGGGGGGGTCCCACTTGAGTAGAGCACAAGCTTGTAGATGGGGAGGGGGGCCACTTGAGTAGAGCACAAGCTTGTAGATGTGGGGGGGGGTGGGGGGGGGGGGGCCCACTTGAGTAGAGCACAAGCTTGTAGATTGGGGGGGGGGGGGGGTGTCCCACTTGAGTAGAGCACAAGCTTGTAGATGGATGGGGGGGGGGGCACTTGAGTAGAGCACAAGCTTGTAGATGGGGGGGGGCCCACTTGAGTAGAGCACAAGCTTGTAGATGGGGAGGGGGGCCACTTGAGTAGAGCACAAGCTTGTAGATAGAGAGAGGGGGGTCCCACTTGAGTAGAGCACAAGCTTGAATATGGGGGGGGGGGGTCCCACTTGAGTAGAGCACAAGCTTGTAGATGGGGGGGGGGGTGTCCCACTTGAGTAGAGCACAAGCTTGTAGATGGGGGGGGGGGGGTCCCACTTGAGTAGAGCACAAGCTTGTAGATGGATGGGGGGGGGGGGGGGGGGGTCCCACTTGAGTAGAGCACAAGCTTGTAGATGGGGAGGGGGGCCACTTGAGTAGAGCACAAGCTTGTAGATGGGGGGGGGGGGGCACTTGAGTAGAGCACAAGCTTGTAGATGAGGGGGGGGGCCCACTTGAGTAGAGCACAAGCTTGTAGATGGGGAGGGGGGCCACTTGAGTAGAGCACAAGCTTGTAGATAGAGAGGGGGGTCCCACTTAAGTAGAGCACAAGCTTGAATATGGGGGGGGGGTCCCACTTGAGTAGAGCACAAGCTTGTAGATGGGGGGGGGGGGGGGAGGGTCCCACTTGAGTAGAGCACAAGCTTGTAGATGGTGGGGGGGTGCCACTTGAGTAGAGCACAAGCTTGTAGATGGGGGGGGGGGGGGTCAAACTTGAGTAGAGCACAGGCTTGTAGATGGGGGGGGGGGGGGGTCAAACTTGAGTAGAGCACAAGCTTGTACATGGGGGGGGGTCAAACTTGAGTAGAGCACAGGCTTGTAGATGGGGGGGAGCGGGTCAAACTTGAGTAGAGCACAAGCTTGTACATGGGGGGGGGGGGGGGGGAGCGGGTCAAACTTGAGTAGAGCACAGGCTTGTAGGGGGGGGGGGGGGGGGGGGGGGTCCCACTTGAGTAAAGCACATTTCTCAAACCATAATTTGCTAGCCTTAAACTCTTAACCAGCCTCTATGCTACTGGCAGCAAGTTTTATGATAAGTCTAGTGAATAGCTTGAGCTTTTAAACAGATAATATTTTGAGAAACACACACATGCACAGTGTATCACACAAACATGCTCAGTGTATCACACAAACATGCACAGTGTATCACACAAACATGCTCAGTGTATCACACAAACATGCACAGTGTATCACACAAACATGCTCAGTGTATCACACAAACATGCACAGTGTATCACACACACATGCACAGTGTATCACACACACATGCTCAGTGTATCACACAAACATGCACAGTGTATCACACAAACATGCTCAGTGTATCACACAAACATGCTCAGTGTATCACACAAACATGCACAGTGTATCACACAAACATGCACAGTGTATCACACAAACATGCTCAGTGTATCACACAAACATGCACAGTGTATCACACAAACATGCACAGTGTATCACACAAACATGCACAGTGTATCACACAAACATGCACAGTGTATCACACAAACATGCACAGTGTATCACACACACATGCACAGTGTATCACACACACATGCACAGTGTATCACACAAACATGCTCAGTGTATCACACAAACATGCACAGTGTATCACACAAACATGCACAGTGTATCACACAAACATGCACAGTGTATCACACACACACACATGCACAGTGTATCACACAAACATGCTCAGTGTATCACACAAACATGCACAGTGTATCACACAAACATGCACAGTGTATCACACAAACATGCTCAGTGTATCACACAAACATGCACAGTGTATCACACAAACACCACTTGTTGCGTTATATTCTAGATAAGTTACAAGAAACATGCACACATGCTGCATGTATACACACACACGCACGCACGCACGCACACACACACCACTTGTGTTATTTTCTACATAAGTAACAACAAATGCGCACGCACTCTGCATGTATCACACACACACTCCACTTATTGCATTATATTCTTCATAAGTAACAACAAATGCGCACGCACGCTGCATGTATCACACACACACTCCACTTGTTGCGTTATATTCTACATAAGTAACAACAAATGCACACACACGCTGCATGTATCACACACACACACACACTCCACTTATTGTGTTATATTATAGACAGATATCTAGAAACATGCATATGCACAGTGTACCACACTCTCTCTCTCACACACACACACACACACGCACTCATGCACGCACACACCACTTGTTTCATTATATTCTAGATAAGTAACAAGAAACATGTGCATGCACAGTGTGCCACTTTCTCTCTCTCACACACAAATGCTTGCATGCATGCACACACCCACTTGTTGCATTAAATTCTAGATAAGTAGCAAGAAACATGTGTACATGCAGCATGTATCACACACACACCACTTGTTCTGTTATATTCTAGATAAGTAACAAGAAACACATGCACATTGGATCACACACACACACACACACACACACAGACACCACTTGTTATGTTATATTCTAGATAAATAACAAGAAACATGCATGTATGCTGCATGTATCACGCACACACACACACACACCACTTATTGTGTCATATTCTAGATAAGTGTCAAGAAACACACATGCATGTGTAGTGTATCACACACACATACACCAATTGTTGTGTTTCTAGATAAGTAATAAGAAACAAAAACACTTGCACAATGAATCACACACGCACACCACTAGTTATGTTATATTCTAGATAAGTAATAAGAAACAAAAACACTTGCACAATGAATCACACACACACACCACTAGTTATGTTATATTTTAGATAAGTAATAAGAAACAAAAACGCTTGCACAATGAATCACACACACACACACCACTATTTTTGTTATATTCTAGATAAGTAATAAGAAACAAAAACACTTGCACAATGAATCACACACACACACCACTAGTTATGTTATATTTTAGATAAGTAATAAGAAAAAAAAACGCTTGCACAATGAATCACACACACACACCACTAGTTATGTTATATTTTAGATAAGTAATAAGAAACAAAAACACTTGCACAATGAATAACACACACACCACTAGTTATGTTATATTCTAGATAAGTAATAAGAAACAAAAACACTTGCACAATGAATCACACACACACACCACTAGTTATGTTATATTTTAGATAAGTAATAAGAAACAAAAACACTTGCACAATGAATCACACACACCACACCATTAGTTATGTTATATTTTAGATAAGTAATAAGAAAAAAAACAAAAACACTTGCACAATGAATCACACACACACACCACTAGTTATGTTATATTTTAGATAAGTAATAAGAAACAAAAACACTTGCACAATGAATCACACACACACACCACTAGTTATGTTATATTTTAGATAAGTAATAAGAAACAAAAACACTTGCACAATGAATCACACACACACACCATTAGTTATGTTATATTTTAGATAAGTAATAAGAAACAAAAACACTTGCACAATGAATCACACACACACACCACTAGTTATGTTATATTTTAGATAAGTAATAAGAAACAAAAACGCTTGCACAGTGAATCACACACACACACCACTTATTGTGTCATATTCTAGATAAGTGTCAAGAAACACACATGCATGTGTAGTGTATCACACACACATACACCAATTGTTGTGTTTCTAGATAAGTAATAAGAAACAAAAACACTTGCACAATGAATCACACACACACACCACTAGTTATGTTATATTTTAGATAAGTAATAAGAAACAAAAACGCTTGCACAATGAATCACACACACACACCACTAGTTATGTTATATTCTAGATAAGTAATAAGAAACAAAAACGCTTGCACAATGAATCACACGCACACCACTAGTTATGTTATATTTTAGATAAGTAATAAGAAACAAAAACGCTTGCACAATGAATCACACACACACACCACTAGTTATGTTATATTTTAGATAAGTAATAAGAAACAAAAACACTTGCACAATGAATCACACACACACACCACTAGTTATGTTATATTTTAGATAAGTAATAAGAAACAAAAACACTTGCACAATGAATCACACACACACACCACTAGTTATGTTATATTTTAGATAAGTAATAAGAAACAAAAACACTTGCACAATGAATCACACACACACACACCACTAGTTATGTTATATTTTAGATAAGTAATAAGAAACAAAAACGCTTGCACAATGAATCACACACACACACCACTAGTTATGTTATATTTTAGATAAGTAATAAGAAACAAAAACGCTTGCACAATGAATCACACACACACACCACTAGTTATGTTATATTTTAGATAAGTAATAAGAAACAAAAACACTTGCACAATGAATCACACACACACACCACTAGTTATGTTATATTTTAGATAAGTAATAAGAAACAAAAACGCTTGCACAATGAATCACACACACACACCACTAGTTATGTTATATTTTAGAAAAGTAATAAGAAACAAAAACGCTTGCACAATGAATCACACGCACACCACTAGTTATGTTATATTTTAGATAAGTAATAAGAAACAAAAACGCTTGCACAATGAATCACACACACACACCACTATTTTTGTTATATTCTAGATAAGTAATAAGAAACAAAAACGCTTGCACAATGAATCACACACACACACACCACTAGTTATGTTATATTTTAGATAAGTAATAAGAAACAAAAACGCTTGCACAATGAATCACACGCACACCACTAGTTATGTTATATTTTAGATAAGTAATAAGAAACAAAAACGCTTGCACAATGAATCACACGCACACACCACTAGTTATGTTATATTTTAGATAAGTAATAAGAAACAAAAACGCTTGCACAATGAATCACACGCACACCACTATTTTTGTTATATTCTAGATAAGTAATAAGAAACAAAAACACTTGCACAATGAATCACACACACACACCACTAGTTATGTTATATTTTAGATAAGTAATAAGAAACAAAAACACTTGCACAATGAATCACACACACACACACACACCAATTGTTGTGTTTCTAGATAAGTAATAAGAAACAAAAACGCTTGCACAATGAATCACACATACACACACACACCACTATTTATGTTATATTTTAGATAAGTAATAAGAAACAAAAACGCTTGCACAATGAATCACACACACACACCACTAGTTATGTTATATTTTAGATAAGTAGCAAGAAACATTTGCACATGTACAGTGCATCAAGGTGTGTCTCTCTAATCTTAGCTCATTTTTAGAGGTCAAAGTGGGATATGAAAAAAGTTTTGCATCTCAGAAAGTTCATATGTATAGAAGTTCATAAGTCGAGTGTACTGGAAAGTGCCAACAGTGACAATATGGTCTGTACTTATGTTTTCATGAGTTCCATCTCTGTCTGCTCATTGACTGACATGTCCTGTCTGATGTCCACCAGCCAGGAAGACCTTGTGACTGTGTGCTGGGTCAGTGCCAGGCCTGTGATCTTTATGTGGATCAGTTGGAGGATGTGCTCAGATATTCTGTTCCTAAAGGACGTGTGGCCTGTTTCATTGCTGAGGCCATTCAGGTGAGGATAGGGCAGACAAGGAGGTGTTTATAAGTGAGAAATTGTTGTTGATGGGGCAGACAAGGTACACGGTTACAGGTGAGAAATGTTTGTTGATGGGGCAGACAAGGTACAGGGTTACAGGTGAGAAATGTTTGTTGATGGGGCAGACAAGGTACAGGGTTACAGGTGAGACATTTTTGTTGATGGGGTAGACAAGGTACAGGGTTACAGGTGAGAAATGTTGGTTGATGGGGCAGACAAGGAGATGGTTACAGGTGAGAAATGTTGGTTGATGGGGCAGACAAGGAGATGGTTACAGGTGAGAAATGTTGGTTGATGGGGCAGACAAGGAGATGGTTACAGGTGAGAAATGTTGGTTGATCAGGCAGAGAAGGTACAGGGTTACAGGTGAGAAATGTTGATTGATGGGGCAGACATGGTACAGGGTTACAGGTGAGAAATGTTGGTTGATGGGGTAGACAAGGTACAGGGTTACAGGTGAGAAATGTTTGTTGATGGGTCAGACATGGTACAGGGTTACAGGTGAGACATTTTTGTTGATGGGGTAGACAAGGTACAGGGTTACAGGTGAGAAATGATTGTTGATGGGGCAGACAAGGTACAGGGTTACAGGTGAGAAATGTTTGTTGATGGGGCAGACAAGTTACAGGTGAGAAATGTTGGTTGATGGGGCAGACATGGTACAGGGTTACAGGTGAGAAATGTTTTGTTGATGGGTCAGACATGGTACAGGGTTACAGGTGAGAAATGTTTGTTGATGGGGCAGACAAGGTACAGGGTTACAGGTGAGAAATGTTTGTTGATGGGGCAGACAAGGTACAGGGTTACAGGTGAAAAATGTTTGTTGATGGGGCAGACAAGGTACAGGGTTACAGGTGAGAAATGTTTGTTGATGGGGCAGACAAGGTACAGGGTTACAGGTGAGAAATGTTTGTTGATGGGGCAGTCAAGGTACAGGGTTACAGGTGAGAAATGTTTGTTGATGGGGCAGACAAGGTACAGGGTTACAGGTGAGAAATGTTTGTTGATGGGGCAGACAAGGTACAGGGTTACAGGTGAAAAATGTTTGTTGATGGGGCAGACAAGGTACAGGGTTACAGGTGAGAAATGTTTGTTGATGGGGCAGACTAGGTACAGGGTTACAGGTGAGAAATGTTTGTTGATGGGGCAGACAAGTTACAGGTGAGAAATGTTTGTTGATGGGTCAGACATGGTACAGGGTTACAGGTGAGAAATGTTTGTTGATGGGGCAGACAAGGTACAGGGTTACAGGTGAGAAATGTTTGTTGATGGGGCAGACAAGGTACAGGGTTACAGGTGAGAAATGTTTGTTGATGGGACAGACAAGGTACAGGGTTACAGGTGAGAAATGTTGGTTGATAGGGCAGACAAAGTACAGGGTTACAGGTGAGAAATAGTTGTTGATGGGGCAGACATGGTACAGGGTGACAGGTGAGAAATGTTGGTTGATGGGGCAGACATGGTACAGGGTTACAGGTGAGAAATGTTGGTTGATGGGGCAGACAAGGTACAGGGTTACAGGTGAGAAATGTTGGTTGATGGGGCTGACATGGTACAGGGTTACAGGTGAGAAATGGTTGTTGATGGGGCAGACAAGGTACAGGGTTACAGGTGAGAAATGTTGGTTGATGGGGCAGACAAGGAGATGTTTACAGGTGAGAAATGTTGGTTGATGGGGCAGACAAGGAGATGGTTACAGGTGAGAAATGTTGGTTGATGGGGCAGAGAAGGTACAGGGTTACAGGTGAGAAATGTTTGTTGATGGGGCAGACATGGTACAGGGTTACAGGTGAGAAATGTTGGTTGATGGGGCAGACAAGGTACAGGGTTACAGGTGAGAAATGGTTGTTGATGGGGCAGACAAGGTACAGGGTTACAGGTGAGAAATGTTTGTTGATGGGGCAGACATGGTACAGGGTTACAGGTGAGAAATGTTGGTTGATGGGGCAGACAAGGAGATGGTTACAGGTGAGAAATGTTGGTTGATGGGACAGAGAAGGTACAGGGTTACAGGTGAGAAATGGTTGGTTGATGGGGCAGACAAGGTACAGGGTTACAGGTGAGAAATGTTGGTTGATAAGGCAGACAAGGAGATGGTTACAGGTGAGAAATGTTGGTTGATGGGGCAGAGAAGGTACAGGGTTACAGGTGAGAAATGTTTGTTGATGGGGCAGACAAGGTACAGGGTTACAGGTGATAAATGTTGGTTGATAGGGCAGACAAGGAGATGGTTACAGGTGAGAAATGTTGGTTGATGGGGCAGACAAGGTACAGGGTTACAGGTGAGAAATGGTTGTTGATGGGACAGACATGGTACAGGGTTACAGGTGAGAAATGGTTGTTGATGGGGCAGACAAGGTACAGGGTTACAGGTGAGAAATGTTGGTTGATGGGGCAGACAAGGTACAGGGTTATAAGTGAGAAATGGTTGTTGATGGGACAGACATGGTACAGGGTTACAGGTGAGAAATGTTGGTTGATGGGGCAGACATGGTACAGGGTTACAGGTGAGAAATGTTTGTTGATGGGGCAGACAGGGTACAGGGTTACAGGTGAGAAATGGTTGGTTGATGAGGCAGACAAGGTACAGGGTTACAGGTGAGAAATGGTTGGTTGATGGGGCAGACAAGGTACAGGGTTACAGGTGAGAAATGTTGGTTGATGTGGCAGACAAGGTACAGGGTTACAGGTGAGAAATGTTGGTTGATAAGGCAGACAAGGAGATGGTTACAGGTGAGAAATGTTGGTTGATGGGGCAGAGAAGGTACAGGGTTACAGGTGAGAAATGTTTGTTGATGGGGCAGACAAGGTACAGGGTTACAGGTGAAAAATGTTTGTTGATGGGGCAGACAAGGTACAGGGTTACAGGTGAGAAATGTTTGTTGATGGGGCAGACAAGGTACAGGGTTACAGGTGAGAAATGTTTGTTGATGGGGCAGACAAGTTACAGGTGAGAAATGTTTGTTGATGGGTCAGACATGGTACAGGGTTACAGGTGAGAAATGTTTGTTGATGGGGCAGACAAGGTACAGGGTTACAGGTGAGAAATGTTTGTTGATGGGGCAGACAAGGTACAGGGTTACAGGTGAGAAATGTTTGTTGATGGGACAGACAAGGTACAGGGTTACAGGTGAGAAATGTTGGTTGATAGGGCAGACAAAGTACAGGGTTACAGGTGAGAAATGGTTGTTGATGGGGCAGACATGGTACAGGGTGACAGGTGAGAAATGTTGGTTGATGGGGCAGACATGGTACAGGGTTACAGGTGAGAAATGTTGGTTGATGGGGCAGACAAGGTACAGGGTTACAGGTGAGAAATGTTGGTTGATGGGGCTGACATGGTACAGGGTTACAGGTGAGAAATGGTTGTTGATGGGGCAGACAAGGTACAGGGTTACAGGTGAGAAATGTTGGTTGATGGGGCAGACAAGGAGATGGTTACAGGTGAGAAATGTTGGTTGATGGGGCAGACAAGGAGATGGTTACAGGTGAGAAATGTTGGTTGATGGGGCAGAGAAGGTACAGGGTTACAGGTGAGAAATGTTTGTTGATGGGGCAGACATGGTACAGGGTTACAGGTGAGAAATGTTGGTTGATGGGGCAGACAAGGTACAGGGTTACAGGTGAGAAATGGTTGTTGATAGGGCAGACAAGGTACAGGGTTACAGGTGAGAAATGTTTGTTGATGGGGCAGACATGGTACAGGGTTACAGGTGAGAAATGTTGGTTGATGGGGCAGACAAGGAGATGGTTACTGGTGAGAAATGTTGGTTGATGGGACAGAGAAGGTACAGGGTTACAGGTGAGAAATGGTTGGTTGATGGGGCAGACAAGGTACAGGGTTACAGGTGAGAAATGGTTGGTTGATGGGGCAGACAGGGTACAGGTTTACAGGTGAGAAATGGTTGGTTGATGGGGCAGACAAGGTACAGGGTTACAGGTGAGAAATGGTTGGTTGATGGGGCAGACAAGGTACAGGGTTACAGGTGAGAAATGTTGGTTGATAAGGCAGACAAGGAGATGGTTACAGGTGAGAAATGTTGGTTGATGGGGCAGAGAAGGTACAGGGTTACAGGTGAGAAATGTTTGTTGATGGGGCAGACAAGGTACAGGGTTACAGGTGAGAAATGGTTGGTTGATGGGGCAGAGAAGGTACAGGGTTACAAGTGAGAAATGTTGGTAGATGGGGCAGACAAGGTACAGGGTTACAGGTGAGAAATGGTTGTTGATGGGACAGACAAGGTACAGGGTTACAGGTGAGAAATGGTTGTTGATGGGGCAGACAAGGTACAGGGTTACAGGTGAGAAATGTTGGTTGATGGGGCAGACAAGGTACAGGGTTATAAGTAAGAAATGGTTGTTGATGGGACAGACATGGTACAGGGTTACAGGTGAGAAATATTGGTTGATGGGGCAGACAAGGTACAGGGTTACAGGTGAAAAATGTTTGTTGATGGGGCAGACAAGGTACAGGGTTACAGGTGAGAAATGTTTGTTGATGTGGCAGACATGGTACAGGGTTACAGGTGAGAAATGTTGGTTGATGGGGCAGACAAGGTACAGGGTTACAGGTGAGAAATGTTGGTTGATGGGGCAGACAGAGGAGTTTTTACGTGTCAGTTATGGTTGTTTTAGGCAAGTGAAGATCATAAAATAAACAGATAGGAGTAAAATTCTCTATACAACATTTGAAGGTTTTACAAGTAGATGAGATGAAAAATACTTTATGTGCGCAGTTATTTCAAGACACATACGTAGCCACAGATGTCACTTTCTGTCTGGTAGCTGCTGTTTCTTGCTGTGTGGTAGCTGCTGTCACTTGCTGTGTGATAGTTGATGTCACTTGCTGTGTGGTAGCTGATGTCATTGGCTGTGTGGTAGCTGATGTCACTTGCTGTGTGGTAGCTGATGTCACTTGCTGTGTGGTAGCTGATGTCACTTGCTGTGTGGTAGCTGATGTCATTTGCTGTGTGGTAGCTGATGTCACTTGCTGTGTGGTAGCTGCTGTCACTTGCTGTGTGGTAGCTGATGTCACTTGCTGTCTGGTAGCTGATGTCATTGGCTGTGTGGTAGCTGATGTCACTTGCTGTGTGGTAGCTGCTGTCACTTGCTGTGTGGTAACCGATGTCACTTACTGTCTGGTAGCTGATGTCACTTACTGTCTCATTCAGTTGCTATTTTCTCTCACTGACATTGGTGTTTTCTGCAGGGGGTGGGTGGTTCAGTCCAGCTTCCTGATGGCTTCCTCAAGAAAGCTTATGAGAAAATCCGAGCCTATGGGGGTCTTTGTATCGCTGATGAGGTTAGTTTTTTATTTTTACTAGAGAGAGAGAAAGAGAAACAAATAAAAAAGAGAGAGAGATATTTTTACCAGACCAGATACAGAGAGGCAGAGATGTTTGTACTAGAAAGACATGTTTGTACAAGAGAGAATTGTTTGTACCAGTGAAAGTATGTTTGTACTAGAGATATAGTTGTACCGGAAAGATAAAGTTTTTAAGAGAGAGAGAGAGAGTTGTTCGTACCAGAGAAAGAAAGTGATATATGTACCAGAGAGAGAGAGAGATTTATACCAGAAATATGTATGTATCATAGAGAGAGATGATTGTACTAACAAGAGAGGTTTGTACCAGAAGACATAATTGTACCAGAGTGCTGTTTTTATTAGAAAAAGATATAAAACTGAATGAAAAGTAACTTGTTTTTATTAATTTGATGTTTGTAACCAAGAGAGAGAGAGACAGACAGACATACATACAGACAGAGAAGGGAGAGATAGATGTGTTTACCCAAAAGAGAGACAGAAATGTTTGTACCAGTGAGGGTATGTTTGTACCAGAGATTTTTTTGTACCAGAAATATACATTTTTTTATCTGGAGAGAGAAATAGAGAGAGAGAGAGTGAGAGAGATATTTGTACCAGAGAAAGAAAGAGATGTTTGTACAAGAGAAAGAGAGAGAGAGATTTATACCATGAATGTGTGAGTATCACAGAGAAAGATGATTGTACCAAAGAGAGAGAGAGAGAGAGAGAGAGAGAGAGAGAAATAGATGATTGTACCAGAGAGTGCTGTTTTTATTATGAAAAGATATAAAACTGAAGGAAAAGTAACCTGTTGTTGTTTGTACCCAAGAGAGAGAGACAGAGAGAGAGAGATAGATATGTGTACCCAAGAGAGAGAGAGAGAGAGACAGAAGTGAGAGATAGATATTTGTACCCAAGAGAGAGAGAGACAGACAGAGAAGTGAGAGATAGATATTTGTACCCAAGAGAGAGAGAGAGAGACAGACAGAGAAGTGAGAGATAGATATTTTTACCCAAGAGAGAGAGAGAGAGAGACAGACAGAGAAGTGAGAGATAGATATTTGTACCCAAGAGAGAGAGAGAGAGAGAGAGACAGAGAAGTGAGAGATAGATATTTGTACCCAAGAGAGAGAGAGAGAGACAGACAGAGAAGTGAGAGATAGATGTTTGTACCCAAGAGAGAGAGAGACAGACAGAGAAGTGAGAGATAGATATTTGTACCCAAGAGAGAGAGAGAGACAGACAGAGAAGTGAGAGATAGATATTTGTACCCAAGAGAGAGAGAGAGACAGATAAGTGAGAGATAGATATTTGTACCCAAGAGAGAGAGAGAGACAGAGAGAGAGAGAGATAGATATTTGTACCCAAGAGAGAGAGAGAGATAGAGAAGTGAGAGACAGATATTTGTACCCAAGAGAGAGAGAGACAGACAGAGAAGTGAGAGATAGATATTTGTACCCAAGAGAGAGAGAGACAGACAGAGAAGTGAGAGATAGATATTTGTACCCAAGAGAGAGAGAGAGAGACAGACAGAGAAGTGAGAGATGGATATTTGTACCCAAGAGAGAGAGACAGACAGAGAAGTGAGAGATAGATATTTGTACCCAAGAGAGAGAGAGAGAGAGAGAGAGAGAGAGAGAGAGAGACAGACAGAAGTGAGAGATAGATATTTGTACCCAAGAGAGAGAGAAAGACAGAAAAGTGAGAGATAGATATTTGTACCCAAGAGAGAGACAGACAGACAGACAGAAAAGTGAGAGATAGATATTTGTACCCAAGAGAGAGAGAGAGACAGACAGAGAAGCAAGAGATAGATATTTGTACCCAAGAGAGAGAGAGAGAGAGAGAGAGAGAGAGAGACAGACAGAGAAGTGAGAGATAGATATTTGTACCCAAGAGAGAGAGACAGAGAGAGAGACAGACAGAGAAGTGAGAGATAGATATTTGTACCCAAGAGAGAGACAGACAGACAGAGAAGTGAGAGATAGATATTTGTACCCAAGAGAGAGAGACAGACAGAAAAGTGAGAGATAGATATTTGTACCCAAGAGAGAGAGACAGACAGAGAAGTGAGAGATAGATATTTGTACCCAAGAGAGAGAGAGAGAGACAGACAGAGAAGTGAGAGATAGATATTTGTACCCAAGAGAGAGAGACAGACAGAAAAGTGAGAGATAGATATTTGTACCCAAGAGAGAGAGAGACAGACAGAAAAGTGAGAGATAGATATTTGTACCCAAGAGAGAGAGAGAGAGACAGACAGAGAAGTGAGAGATAGATATTTGTACCCAAGAGAGAGAGAGAGAGAGACAGACAGAGAAGTGAGAGATAGATATTTGTACCCAAGAGAGAGAGAGACAGACAGAGAAGTGAGAGATAGATATTTGTACCCAAGAGAGAGAGAGAGAGAGACAGACAGACAGAGAAGTGAGAGATAGATATTTGTACCCAAGAGAGAGAGACAGACAGACAGAGAAGTGAGAGATAGATATTTGTACCCAAGAGAGAGAGACAGACAGAAAAGTGAGAGATAGATATTTGTACCCAAGAGAGAGAGAGACAGACAGAAAAGTGAGAGATAGATATTTGTACCCAAGAGAGAGAGAGAGACAGACAGAGAAGTGAGAGATAGATATTTGTACCCAAAAAAGAGACAGAAATGTTTGTACCAGAGCCTGATGTTTGTACTAATCAGTCACATATATATTTAACTACTTGTGCCCTGCAGGTCCAGACAGGTTTCGGGAGAATGGGATCCCACTACTGGGGGTTTGAGAGCCAGGGAGTGACCCCAGATATTGGTACAGTTTGGGTTTGTTCTGAAATCTCTTTACAGTTTCACATCTTGTTTCCATTTATTGTTTCACATCTTGTTTCCATTTACTGTTTCACATCTTGTTTCCATTTACTGTTTCACATCTTGTTTCCATTTATTGTTTCACATCTTGTTTCCATTTACTGTTTCACATCTTGTTTCCATTTACTGTTTCACATCTTGTTTCCATTTATTGTTTCACATCTTGTTTCCATTTACTGTTTCACATCTTGTTTCCATTAACTGTTTCACATCTTGTTTCCATTTATTGTTTCACATCTTGTTTCCATTAACTGTTTCACATCTTGTTTCCATTTACTGTTTCACATCTTGTTTCCATTTACTGTTTCATATCTTGTTTCCAATTACTGTTTCACATCTTGTTTCCATTTATTGTTTTACATCTTGTTTTAATTAACTGTTTCATGTTTGTTTTTAACAATTTTTTTTAAAAAGTCTTTTTTGTACCTATAGGATTAATCAACAGTTGCCCGCAGGGTATGGCCTGGAATTTTGTCACAAATGTTTTCATGTAGATTAGTGTTTCCCAGAGTGGGCATTAACTTTAGGGAAAAAGGAGGGTGTGGGGGGGGGGGGGGGCTGGAGCTGTCCTGCAGGCAACAGAGAGACACACTCGGTAGCAGCATGTGAAGCTTCCCAGACTTAGAACAGAGGCAGCAACTGTCCAGATAAAAAGCTGTCAAAGTCAGCCAGCCAAGCCATCTCCAAACAGATCAGCCTCATCTATAAAATAAACACAGTCAGAATCTCTGGGCAAGAACAGAGCTAGTCCAGCAGTGGCTTCCAGTCCACTAAGGCATCCCTAGACATGGTGAGGCAGATAAACCTACCAAGATACAGGAGCTTCCTGCAGCCCTAACTGTCTCAGGGCTTTCAAACACCAAAGATTCTGTTAAACAGTCTATGGAGTTGAACTGGAGAGAAGACTACAGGGGACCTCCTGCAACTCCAACTGTCTCAGGGCTTTCAAACACCAAAGATTCTGTTAAACAGTCTATGGAGGTGGACTGGAGAGAAGACTACAGGGGACCTCCTGCAGCTCCAACTGTCTCAGGGCTTTCAAACACCAAAGATTCTGTTAAACAGTCTATGGAGTTGGACTGGAGAGAAGACTACAGGGGACCTCCTGCAGCTCCAACTGTTTCAGGGCTTTCAAACACCAAAGATTCTGTTAAACAGTCTATGGAGTTGGACTGGAGAGAAGACTACAGGGGACCTCCTGCAGCTCCAACTGTCTCAGGGCTTTCAAACACCAAAGATTCTGTTAAACAGTCTATGGAATTGGACTGGAGAGAAGACTACAGGGGCTTCCTGCAGCCCTAACTGTCTCAGGGCTTTCAAACACCAAAGATTCTGTTAAACAGTCTATGGAGTTGGACTGGAGAGAAGACTACAGGGGACCTCCTGCAGCTCCAACTGTCTCAGGGCTTTCAAACACCAAAGATTCTGTTAAACAGTCTATGGAGTTGGACTGGAGAGAAGACTACAGGGGACCTCCTGCAGCTCCAACTGTCTCAGGGCTTTCAAACACCAAAGATTCTGTTAAACAGTCTATGGAATTGGACTGGAGAGAAGACTACAGGGGCTTCCTGCAGCCCTAACTGTCTCAGGGCTTTCAAACACCAAAGATTCTGTTAAACAGTCTATGGAGTTGAACTGGAGAGAAGACTACAGGGGACCTCCTGCAGCTCCAACTGTCTCAGGGCTTTCAAACACCAAAGATTCTGTTAAACAGTCTATGGAGTTGGACTGGAGAGAAGACTACAGGGGCTTCCTGCAGCCCTAACTGTCTCAGGGCTTTCAAACACCAAAGATTATGTTAAACAGTCTATGGAGTTGAACTGGAGAGAAGACTACAGGGGACCTCCTGCAGCTCCAACTGTCTCAGGGCTTTCAAACACCAAAGATTCTGTTAAACAGTCTATGGAGTTGAACTGGAGAGGAGACTACAGGGGACCTCCTGCAACTCCAACTGTCTCAGGGCTTTCAAACACCAAAGATTCTGTTAAACAGTCTATGGAGTTGGACTGGAGAGAAGACTACAGGGGACCTCCTGCAGCTCCAACTGTCTCAGGGCTTTCAAACACCAAAGATTCTGTTAAACAGTCTATGGAGTTGGACTGGAGAGAAGACTACAGGGGACCTCCTGCAGCTCCAACTGTCTCAGGGCTTTCAAACACCAAAGATTCTGTTAAAACAGTCTATGGAGTTGGACTGGAGAGAAGACTACAAAAATGGCAGGCTATAGCATGATGGTTTAGGAAAAAAATGTGTATGTTACCACAGTCGACATCACTGCACATTGGGCATTCCCATGCATGTTCAGTTCTCTGTTGCAGCCACCAATCCTGTGTATCTTCACTGATTATTCCCATGAGTCTCCTGTCTCAGTCTCAAAAGCAGCATACACATGCTTCACCATGTTTTACTCCCAGGTCACACAATCATGTTAGTGTCCATGATTCATCATTGTCCACTAGCCCAGTCCATACAACATTAATGATATCTGCTCTATCCATGCTTCTTTCCTCATTCGTTGATGATCATTGCTTGCCAGTTGCTAGCTCATTTTCTTTTTTGCCAGCATGACCTGGTGTGTAGAATCCGGTGAGGAAGGTTGAGTGCACTTCTTTTTTTTTTTTTTTAACCTTTACCCCATGTTATCCTTGTACAGAGATCACTTTACCTCATGTTATCCTTGTACAGAGATCACTTTACTCCATGCTATCCTTGTTCTGAGGTCACTTTACCCCATGTTATCCTTGAATAGAGATCACTTTACTCCATGTTATCCTTGTACAGAGGTCACTTTACCCAAGGTTGTTATCTGTGTACAGAGGTCACTTTATGCAAGGTTGTTATCCGTTTACAGAAATCACTTTACCCAAGATTGTTATCCATGTACAGAGATCACTTTACTCCATGTTATCCTTGTACAGAGGTCACTTTACCCAAGGTTGTTATCTGTGTACAGAGGTCACTTTACACAAGGTTGTTATCCGTTTACAGAAATCACTTTACCCAAGGTTGTTAGCCATGTACAAAGATCACTTTACCCCATGTTATCCTTGTACAGAGATCACTTTACCCCATGTTATCCTTGTACAGATATCACTTTACTCCATGTTATCAATGTACAGAGATCACTTTACCCCATGTTATCCTTGTACAGGGATTACTTTACTCCATGTTATCCTTGTACAGAGATCACTTTACCCCATGTTACCCTTGTACAGAGATCACTTTACTCCATGTTATCCTTGTACAGAGATCACTTTGCTCCATGTTATCCTTGTACAGAGATCACTTTACCCCATGTTATCCTTGTACAGAGATCACTTTACCCCATGTTATCCTTGTACAGAGATCACTTTACCCCATGTTATCCTTGTACAGAGATCACTTTACCCCATGTTATCCTTGTACAGAGTTCACTTAACCCCATGTTAACCTTGTACAGAAATCACTTGAACCCATGCTGTGCTTGAACAGAGATCACTTTAACCCCTGCTGTTCTGGTTGCAGTCACTATGGCTAAAGGTATTGGCAATGGATTTCCTATGGGAGCAGTGGTGACCACCCCAGAGATTGCCCAAACTATGGGCAGGGCTTTACACTTCAACACCTTTGGAGGCAATCCACTGGCCAGTGCTGTTGGATCAGCTGTCCTGGATGTAGGTCGTCTGCCGCTGTGTCTTGTCCGAGACTCTTTGTGCCTGTGGCATGAGGACTCTGGTATTGGAAGTGTGGGATACGGAAAGTCTAGGATAGGGAAAGTCAGGGATAGAGGAAGTCTGGGATTTAGGATGTCTGTAATGTGGGAAGTCTGGCATCAAGGAAGTCTGTGTGTGATATGGGAAGTCTGGGATAGAGAAAGTCTGTGATGTGGGATGTATGTGCTATGGGTTTGGAATAGGGGATGTCTATTATATGGGAAGTTTGTGATATAGGAAGTCTGGTATATGGAAAGTGTGTGACCTGGGATATGGAAAATCTCAGCCATGGAAAGGCTGGGATATAGGAACTTTGAGGTGGGAAATCTGGGATATGGGAACTGTGAGATATTGGAACACTGACATGAGAATATGGTATGGGAAGTATGGATACGTCCTATCTCGTATCCCTTGTTTACACAATAATTGTCTCCGTCTTAGCTCTTGTGTCTGTTTTACACAGTGATTGTCACAGCTCCTGGACCTTTTTTTACACAATGACTGTCTCTGTCTTAGCTCTAGTGTCATTTCTTTGCTCAGTGATTGTCTGTGTCTTAGCGTTTGTCCTTTTTTACACAGAGATTGTCTATGTCTTAGCTCTTGTCTCTTTTTACACAATGATTGTCTCTGTCTTAGCTCTTGTCCCATTTTGCACAATAATTGTCTCTGTCTTAGCTCTTGTCCCATTTTACACAATGATTGTCTCTGTCTTAGCTTTTGTTCCTTTTTACACAGTGATTGTCTCTGTCTTAGCTCTTGTCCCATTTTGCACAATGATTGTCTCTGTCTTAGCTCTTGTCCCATTTAGCACAATAATTGTCTCTGTCTTAGCTGTTGTGTTCTTTCTTTACACAATAATTGTCTCTGTCTTAGCCCTTGTCCCATTTTGCACAATGATTGTCTCTCTCTTAGCTCTCTCTTGTCCCTTTTTACAAAGTGATTGTCTGTGTCTTAGCTCTTGTTCCTTTTTACACAATGATTGTCTCTGTCTTAGCTCTTGTCCATTTTTACCCAATGATTGTCTCTGTCTTAGCTCTTGTCCATTTTTACCCAATGATTGCCTGTGTCTTAGCTGTTGTGTTCTTTCTTTACACAGTGATTGTCTCTGTCTTAGCTCTTGTCCCATTTTGCTCAGTGATTGTCTCTGTCTTAGCTGTTGTGTTCTTTCTTTACACAGTGATTGTCTCTGTCTTAGCTCTTGTCCCTTTTTACACAATGATTGTCTGTGTCTTAGCTTTTGTCCCTTTTTACACAATGATTGTCTCTGTCTTAACTCTTGTCCCTGTTTACACAATGATTGTCTCTCTCTTAGCTCTTGTCCATTTTTACACAGTGATTGTCTCTGTCTTAGCTCTTGTCCCTTTTTACACAGAATAGTTATTACAATGAAACACAATGTGTCTGAAATGTGCAGGTCATTGACAAAGAAAGAACTCAGGCCTTGTGTGCCAACCTTGGCACTTACTTCATCACAGAACTGGACAAACTCAGGTCAGAATTTGAGGTCATTGGAGATGTCAGGGGCAAAGGTCTCATGATTGGCGTGGAGCTAGTCAAAGATAAGGTGAAGGTCAATTATTGATTCATACTTGTTTTCTTTTCTACCGTTGGATGTAGACTTACCTTACAGTCTTGTTGAGTCTTTACTCTTCTATCCTGGGATGTAGAGGTACCTTACAGTTTTGTTGAGTCTTTACTCTTCTATCCTGGGATGTAGAGGTACCTTACAGTCTTGTTTAGTCTGTCCACTTCTACCCTGGGATGCACAAGTACCTAACAGTCTTGTTTAGTCTGTCCTCTTCTGCCCTCAGATGTAGAGGTACCTTACAGTCTTCTTTAGTCTGTCCTCTTCTGCCCTCAGATGTAGAGGTACCTTACAGTCTTGTTTAGTCTGTCCTCTTCTGCCCTCAGATGTAGAGGTACCTTACAGTCTTGTTTAGTCTGTCCTCTTCTGCCCTCAGATGTAGAGGTACCTTACAGTCTTGTTTAGTCTGTCCTCTTCTGCCCTCAGATGTAGAGGTACCTTACAGTCTTGTTTAGTCTGTCCTCTTCTGCCCTCAGATGCACAAGTACCTTAGTCTCTTGTTTAGTCCTTCTATGAATGTTTCTTTATCTTTCTTTACACTTATTTACACATGCATATCTGGGCATCAGTGACTAACATCATATGCTGCCTTCCTCTCACTTCACCAATAACTGGTGTTGGGGGCCGTTTTTCCTCTCACTGCACATAACTGGTGGATAGGAGCACCCATAACTGGTGGTTAGGGGCACCCATAACTGGTGGATAGGAGCACCCATAACTGGGGGTTAGGGGCACCCATAGCTGAGGGTCTGGGGGGGGGGGGGCAGACTTCTTCTCACCACTCATCGACAGATTGACTAATTCTTCACAGAATGAATTGTAGATTCTTTGACAGATGAACTGTAGTTCAGTAGTGACGGTAGAAAGCTTTAGTTAGTGGACAGTAGATAGCTTTAGTTAGTGGACAGTAGATAGCTTTAGTTAGTGGACAGTAGATAGCTTTAGTTAGTGGACAGTAGATAGCTTTAGTTAGTGGACAGTAGATAGCTTTAGTTTATGGACAGTAGATGGCTTTAGTTAGTGGACAATAGATAGCTTTATTTAGTGGACAGTAGATAGTTTTAGTTACTGGACTGTAAATAGCTTTAGTTAGTGGACAGTAGATAGTTTTAGTTACTAGACAGTAAATAGCTTTAGTTAGTGGACAGTAGATAGCTTTAGTTACTAGACAGTAAATACCTTTAGTTAGTGGACAGTAGATAGTTTTAGTTACTAGACAGTAAATAGCTTTAGTTAGTGGACAGTAGATAGCTTTAGTTACTAGACAGTAAATAGCTTTAGTTAGTGGACAGTAGATAGTTTTAGTTACTAGACAGTAAATAGCTTTAGTTAGTGGACAGTAGATAGCTTTAGTTACTAGACAGTAAATAGCTTTAGTTACAGGAGGGTAGATAGCTTTAGTTACAGGACAGTAGATAGCTTTAGTTAGTGGACAGTAGATGGCTTTAGTTAGTGGACAGTAGATAGCTTTAGTTACCAGACAGTAGATAGCTTTAGTTACAGGACAGTAGATAGCTTTAGTTAGTGGACAGTAGATGGCTTTAGTTAGTGGACAGTAGATAGCTTTAGTTACCAGACAGTAGATAGCTTTAGTTACAGGACAGTAGATAGCTTTAGTTATAGGACAGTAGATAGCTTTAGTTACAGGACAGTAGATAGCTTTAGTTACCAGACAGTAGATAGCTTTAGTTACCAGACAGTAGATAGCTTTAGTTACCAGACAGTAGATAGCTTTAGTTACCAGACAGTAGATAGCTTTAGTTACAGGACAGTAGATAGCTTTAGTTACCAGACAGTAGATAGCTTTAGTTACCAGACAGTAGATAGCTTTAGTTACAGGACAGTAGATAGCTTTAGTTACCAGACAGTAGATAGCTTTAGTTACCAGACAGTAGATAGCTTTAGTTACCAGACAGTAGATAGCTTTAGTTACCAGACAGTAGATAGCTTTAGTTAGTGGACAGTAGATAGCTTTAGTTACCAGACAGTAGCTTTAGTTACCAGACAGTAGATAGCTTTAGTTACCAGACAGTAGATAGCTTTAGTTAGTGGACAGTAGATAGCTTTAGTTACCAGACAGTAGATAGCTTTAGTTACCAGACAGTAGATAGCTTTAGTTAGTGGAGAGTAGATAGCTTTAGTTAGTGGAGAGTAGATAGCTTTAGTTACTAGACAGTAAATAGCTTTAGTTACCAGACAGTAGATAGCTTTAGTTACTGGACAGTAGATAGCTTTAGTTACCAGACAGTAGATAGCTTTAGTTACTGGACAGTAGATAGCTTTAGTTACTGGACAGTAGATAGCTTTAGTTACCAGACAGTAGATAGCTTTAGTTACAGGACAGTAGATAGCTTTAGTTACTGGACAGTAGATAGCTTTAGTTACCAGACAGTAGATAGCTTTAGTTACAGGACAGTAGATAGCTTTAGTTACCAGACAGTAAATAGCTTTAGTTACCAGACAGTAGATAGCTTTAGTTACCAGACAGTAGATAGCTTTAGTTACCAGACAGTAGATAGCTTTAGTTACCAGACAGTAGATAGCTTTAGTTACAGGACAGTGGATAGCTTTAGTTACCAGACAGTAGATAGCTTTAGTTACCAGACAGTGGATAGCTTTAGTTACCAGACAGTAGATAGCTTTAGTTAGTGGACAGTAGATAGCTTTAGTTACCAGACAGTAGATAGCTTTAGTTAGTGGACAGTAGATGGTTTTAGTTACAGGACAGTAGACAGCTTTAGTTACCAGACAGTAGATAGCTTTAGTTACCAGACAGTAGATAGCTTTAGTTACCAGACAGTAGATAGCTTTAGTTACAGGACAGTAGATAGCTTTAGTTACCAGACAGTAGATAGCTTTAGTTACAGGACAGTAGATAGCTTTAGTTACCAGACAGTAGATAGCTTTAGTTACCAGACAGTAGATAGCTTTAGTTACAGGACAGTAGATAGCTTTAGTTACCAGACAGTAGATAGCTTTAGTTACAGGACAGTAGATAGCTTTAGTTACCAGACAGTAGATAGCCTTAGTTACCAGACAGTAGATAGCTTTAGTTAGTGGACAGTAGATAGCTTTAGTTACCAGACAGTAGATAGCTTTAGTTACAGGACAGTAGATAGCTTTAGTTACCAGACAGTAGATAGCTTTAGTTACCAGACAGTAGATAGCTTTAGTTACAGGACAGTAGATAGCTTTAGTTACAGGACAGTAGATAGCTTTAGTTACAGGACAGTAGATAGCTTTAGTTACTGGACAGTAGATAGCTTTAGTTACCAGACAGTAGATAGCTTTAGTTACTGGACAGTAGATAGCTTTAGTTACCAGACAGTAGACAGCTTTAGTTACAGGACAGTAGATAGCTTTAGTTACCAGACAGTAGATAGCTTTAGTTACCGGACAGTAGATAGCTTTAGTTACCAGACAGTAGATAGCTTTAGCTAGTGGACAGTAGATAGCTTTAGTTACCAGACAGTAGATAGCTTTAGTTACAGGACAGTAGATAGCTTTAGTTACCAGACAGTAGATAGCTTTAGTTACCAGACGGTAGATAGCTTTAGTTACTGGACAGTAGATAGCTTTAGTTACAGGACAGTAGATAGCTTTAGTTACCAGACAGTAGATAGCTTTAGTTACCAGACAGTAGATAGCTTTAGTTACCAGACAGTAGATAGCTTTAGTTACCAGACAGTAGATAGCTTTAGTTACCAGACAGTAGATAGCTTTAGTTAGTGGACAGTAGATAGCTTTAGTTACCAGACAGTAGATAGCTTTAGTTACAGGACAGTAGATAGCTTTAGTTACCAGACAGTAGATAGCTTTAGTTACCAGACAGTAGATAGCTTTAGTTACCAGACAGTAGATAGCTTTAGTTACTGGACAGTAGATAGCTTTAGTTACAGGACAGTAGATAGCTTTAGTTACCAGACAGTAGATAGCTTTAGTTACCAGACAGTAGATAGCTTTAGTTACAGGACAGTAGATAGCTTTAGTTACCAGACAGTAGATAGCTTTAGTTACAGGACAGTAGATAGCTTTAGTTACAGGACAGTAGATAGCTTTAGTTACAGGACAGTAGATAGCTTTAGTTACCAGACAGTAGATAGCTTTAGTTACTGGACAGTAAATAGCTTTAGTTACAGGACAGTAAATAGCTTTAGTTACCAGACAGTAGATAGCTTTAGTTACCAGACAGTAGATAGCTTTAGTTACCAGACAGTAGATAGCTTTAGTTAGCAGACAGTAGATAGCTTTAGTTACAGGACAGTAGATAGCTTTAATTACTAGACAATACATTCTGGGTTGTCAGATAATGGCAGCAGTGTATTTGTTTGACTTGTAGAAATCCCGGCAGCCACTGGCAGCTGAGGAGATGGCATCCATCTGGGAGGACACCAAGGACATGGGCGTGCTGATTGGCAAAGGTGGACTCTACGGCAATGTGAGTGGGTTCGATTCTCTGTCTGTAGCAACAGTTTATCTTAGATGTACCTTTGTCTCAATGTGAGTGGGTTCGATTCTCTGTCTGTAGCAACAGTTTATCTTAGATGTACCTTTGTCTCAATGTGAGTGGGTTTGATTCTCTGTAGCAACAGGTTGTCTTAGAGGTACCTTCGTCTCAGTGTGAGTGGGTTTGATTCTCTGTCTGTAGCAACAGTTTATCTTAGATGTACCTTTGTCTCAATGTGAATGGGTTTGATTCTCTGTTTGTAGCAACAGTTTATCTTAGATGTACCTTTGTCTCAATGTGAGTGGGTTTGATTCTCTGTAGCAACAGGTTGTCTTAGATGTACCTTTGTCTCAATGTGAGTGGGTTTGATTCTCTGTCTGTAGCAACGGTTTATCTTAGATGTACCTTTGTTTCTTCGTCAGCCAAGTATTTTTTCTGTGTGTCTGTGTGTGTCACTTATGTCTGTTGTTTCTTTCACAGTGTGGGTGTTACTTAAGTCTGTTGTTTCTCCCAGTGTCTCCGCATCAAGCCTCCCATGTGTATCAATCATGTCTGTTGTTTCTCCCACAGTGTCTCCGCATCAAGCCTCCCATGTGTATCACTAAAGCAGATGTGGATTTCAGCCTGGCCGTCCTCAGGTGTGCTTTACAGAAACATCAAGACAGTCAGTAGATGTAGCTGACCTGTCATCTTGTCTGATGGAAGCTCCATGTAAACCTGTTACACTGACAGCTCTATCATGTGACATCTGGACTGGTTGCTGGGACATTTCGAGCTCAGCAGCATGGGAGAACAGCAGCATGGGAGAACAGCAGCATGGGAGAACAGCAGCATGGGAGAACAGTCATTTCAGTTTGACTGGTTGTTGTGTGTGTGTTTGTTTGTGGGTGTGTATGCATGTGTCAGTTGTTAGTTACATTTAATGTCATGGTTGTAACATTTATTTGTTATTATTAAAATTACCACAGCTATCCTACATATTATCTTTATCGTACCAATGATGTTGATGTTACCACTGATGTTGATGTTACCATAGATGTTGTTGATGTTACTGGTGGTATTGTTAATGTTGCAACTGATCTTGTTAATGTTACAAAGGATAATGTTGATGTTACCATTCTTCTTCTTCTTCTTCGACCCTTATGTCAGAAAACTTATATCAGGAGGCCGGTAGCCTTTATGAAAGCTATCGTGCAATCCATATCCTCTCGTGTACCATACAGTTTTGTCTTCATTGTGGTTGGAACAGGCCAGATTGCGTCTCTGTTGTCAGCATACAGTTGACAGTGTTGAAGCACATGCTCAGCATTTTCGGGTGCCACGCTGCAGGGACACGTCTCCGTATTTCCTACACCGAAAAATTTGAACATATTTTGACGAAATCTGTTGTGCCCTGTCCTTAGTCTGAATATAATAGACTGTCCCTCTCTAGAGAGGCGATGAAGTGAGTCTTGGGGAGAAAATCTGTTGTGGGTATCCAGCCACCTTTCTTGGATACTAGATTGTATTAGTGTTTTCATCTCTTGGTGGGTTAAGTCGCTATTTGGTTGTACCATGTCACTGCCGCTTCTGGCCAATCTGTCCGCTATTTCATTGCCTTCCAAGCCACAGTGACCTGGAATCCACTGCAGTACAGATTGTTCTACTGAAGAGCCTAGGTAAATAAATCAGCTGTTGCGTCAAGTCTACAAACTGAGTGTCTTTTGGGTTAACAATTGCTTGTAGAACTGACATAGCATCAGTCAGAAAGACCACTCTGCTATATTTGCTGTGCTGTTGTCCATTCAGGAAAGAACATGCGGCTAGAAGTGCTTCTGCCTCTGCTCTGTAATTGGAGGAATATGAACCTGTTGGTACAGCCTGGTTGATTTTAAAACCATTTGGGCATTCTATGTATATTCCTCCTCCTCCGTCTCTTACTGCTCTCTTGGCTGAACCATCTGTATACACTCGAATCCAACTCTGGTGTGGGTAAAGTCTATTGATCTCTCGTTCTGTAGTTGATTTCATATCAGTGCTGCTCATTGATGATTTGGAGGAGACCCCTGTTACAGTGGTTCTGACTGTTGGTAGGCTATCCCTAAGCCAAGCGGGGCAGTCGTTGTAAGGTTTAAGTGGAACATTTGGTATTAAGGCAGGGAGTTTAAGGACAGCGAGTTGGTTCAAGTTCTCCTTAGTCTAGCCTTCTGGGGTTTCTGCAGTCGGCTGTACATGGGTTGTTCTTGAAAGTGGTGGTATTTCTGGGTGAGGATCTTTTGTATCTCTCCTAAGGTTACTCCTAAATGGGCGTGGAGCGCAGTGAGTCATAATCATGGTTTTGGATCTTTGAGAGAAAATTTGATTTAGCTGCTGTGCCCCAAGCAGCTATTCCTTAGTTGGCCTCACATAGCCTGTAACTTTAAGGACATTGAGGTTTGCCCCCCAGTCTGGCTAACTTCCTCATCAGTTGTGTTATCTTGAGTCCCTTGCTCTGTGTCTTTTCTATCTGTTTTCTCCATGTGAGTCTTGAGTCAAAGGTTACTCCTAAATATGACAGTGAGTCATCATGTATCAGTGCCTGGCTGCCATATCTTAGTGAAACTTTCTGGGGTTTGGTAGAGAGACTGAAAATGGTGTGTGTGGTTTTGGCCCCATTTACAGGCATGTACCAGCTATTGGACCACCTCTCTAGAGTTCCGAGGGATTCTTGAAGCCTTTTCTGTGCTTTTTCAGTGTCCTCCTCTGAACTCAGTAGCGCCAGATCATCGGCATACATAACGGCTTGAACTCCATTACAGAGGGTTGATTTTATGTCGTTAATGTAAACTAGGAAAAGAATTGGGGACAGAACTTTGTTCATGTTACCATTGATTTTGTTGATGTTAACACTGCCATAAAAATTGAATTTCTGATTGAATTTAAGAATTCTGTGGTGTGGATGGGGAAGGTAAGTGGGGGCCACATTTCTAGTGTTGTTGCCACGAACTGTACAGGGTATGATTGTTTTTCTGCCAGGACAGAAAGAAGAGCTACAACCTTACAGAGGATTCGAACCTGGGTTTCCTGCATGAGAGCCTGCAGTTTTAAATGTTTGGTCATCACCGGTGTGTCAGTCATCTGACTGTGCATAAGAATTCTGTAGTCTGTCACCTGACTGTACTTGGAATGTCTGTAGTCTGTCACCTGATTGTACATGGAATATCTGTAGTCTGTAAGTCACCTGACTGTACATAGAATGTCTGTAGTATGCCAGTCTTCTTCACTTCCTCTTTTACCGCTGTGGGTGTCGAGGGAGATATAAGGTTCTGTTTCTGGCTCTTCTGGCCGCCTCGACCATAGGCACATCGTGCTGTTGTAGAGCTTCTCTGATGTTATCCTTTCATCTTGTTCTTGGTCTACCTCTTGCTCTACGACCTTCTTCTCTTTCCATGTATGCTTTGTAGGGTATGGTGTCACAAGGCATTCTCTCTAAGTGGGCAAACCATTTCACTTGCTGTCTTGTCTAATATGTAGTTAGATATGTCCGGATGCACCAGGAAACCCACTCCATTCTTCGATGTTTCTCCTCCTGCATATGTTAGTAGGTAGCCTCTGTGTATTTTCTTGTTACTATTTCCCTTGCGTCTTATGTCAGCTAGCCCCATTAACTTGATTTTCCTTTTTTCCATCATTTCAATAATCTCTTCTGTTTTATTTCCCAGGCCAGCGGTGTTAAGTGTTGCAATCTTGTATTTCGCTTTTCTGTCTCGTAGTCCCTTAACATAGCCATGGTCAGATACCGTTTGATCAGTCCTTTTATATCTCATTGTGTTTTCTGTAGCGATAATAAATCCATTGCCGGCTTGCTAGGCCTGTCGCAACTTCACCAGAGCCCCGTTGGCCAGAACGTTTCGGGGTGACCCAGGGTGGCCTTCATGGCTACCGTAGCGGTTGTGTGGCACAAGGCCACACCATACTTCGCCCACACCTAGCAATCCCCTACTTTGTTCTGTTACCACCTCTCACAACGAGGACGTGGGGTTGGCCTTTGAGAGGCGTCACCTGATTGAACATGGGATATCTGTAGTCTGGAAGCCACCTGACTGTATAAGGAATGTCTGTAGTCTGTTGTCACCTGACTGTACATAGAAAATCTGTAGTCTGGAAGCCACCTGACTTTATAAGGAATGTCTGTAGTCTGTTGTCACCTGACTGTACATAGAAAATCTGTAGTCTGTCAGTCACCTGACTGTACATTGTATGTCTGTAGTCTGTCAGTCACCTGACTATACATGAAATGTCTGTAGTATGCCAGTCGCCTGACTGTATTTGGAATGTCTGTAGTCTGCTGTCACCTGAGAGGGATAAAGAGGGAGAGAATAAACAGACTTTGTTTTTAAAGGATCGCAAAATAGGCATGCAGGCTGGTCTTACATTGGGCCCTCTCAAATATTCGTTTCTCATAGAACAACAGTAATCCATCTAGAAAGATGTGATTTGAATACCTCAGCACAAGAGCAAGTCAACACAGAAAAGCATTTATATAGCAATGGCACATTTCAATATACATATGTAAACATATATATCCACATGAATACACCATGCATACCCACACACACTGATGCATTCACACACATACATAATACACGATGGTTGTGCATACATACGTATAAACACATACTTCTACACTTATCGATATACCTACAGTGAGAAAGAGAGAGAGCATTAGCTAGCCAACTGATTCGTCAGAAAACAAAGTTAAAATGTGTGCCAGTCTCGCTCTGTCACTGTGATTACTCCCTCAGTAAACTGTACCTGACCGTGATTATTCCCTTCCTGATCTGTACCTGACCGTGATTATTCCCTTCCTGGTCTGTACCTGACCGTGATTATTCCCTTCCTGATCTGTACCTGACCGTGATTATTTCCTTCCAGATCTGTACCTGACCGTGATTATTCCCTTCCTGGTCTGTACCTGACCGTGATTGCTCTCTCAGTGATGTGTACCTGACTGTGATTATTCCCTTCCTGAACTGTACCTGACCGTGATTATTCCCTTCCTGTTCTAAACTCTCCATCGCTGCCGAATAGACCCCAGCTTTGAACAGAATATTTGCCTGAAGCACTGCGCACACGACGGGTCACGTGACTGCACGCCAGACGACGTATGGCTGCCCCTAATGAGATTCCCGCTAATCTTTGTTTATGCTTGTGTTATTACAAACTCTAGGAGGCGTAAACTATCCTCGTATCCAATCCAAGCTAACCAAGCGTGACAGTTTCCGCTGACTGCACAGCCTGACAAGCTGATTACTGTAAACAGTCTCAAATCAAAGTCGGCCTCATTCCGCCATAAACAGAGTCAAGCATTTGACTGCCCGCTGCCGTCCTCTGTGAGTTCATCCACTCAGCTCCGGGAATCTACTCTAGTGTTTTCCAGTCCTGACACTTGTGGAGTCCTCTGTGAGTTCATCCACACAGCTCCAAGATTCTTCTCTAGTGTTTTCTAGCCCTGACACTTGTGGAGTCCTCTGTGAGTTCATCCACACAGCTCCAAGATTCTTCTCTAGTGTTTTCTAGCCCTGACACTTGTGGAGTCCTCTGTGAGTTCATCCACACAGCTCCAAGATTCTTCTCTAGTGTTTTCTATTCCTGACACTTATGAAGTCCTCTGTGAGTTCATCCACACAGCTCCGGGAATCTGCTCCAGGGTTTTCCGGCCCTGACACTTGTGGAGTCAGATATAACTGACAGTACAGAAGTCTACATATTGTGCCCTTGTCAGAGTTTAGTTTGTAACATTGTTAGAGTTTGCAACATTGCCAGAGTTTAGAGTTTATAACATTGTCAGAGTTTAGAGTTTGTAACATTGTCAGAGTCTAGAGCTTGTAACATTGTCAGAGTTTACAGTTTGTAACATTGTCAGAGTTTAGAGTTTGTAACATTGTCAGAGTCTAGAGCTTGTAACATTGTCAGAGTTTACAGTTTGTAACATTGTCAGAGTTTAGAGCTTGTAACATTGTCAGAGTTTAGAGTTTGTAACATTGTCGGAGTTTACAGTTTGTAACATTGTCAGAGTTTAGAGTTTGTAACATTGTCAGAGTTTAGAGTTTGTAACATTGTCAGAGTCTAGAGCTTGTGACATTGTCAGAGTTTAGAGTTTGTAACATTGTCAGAGTCTAGAGCTTGTAACATTGTCAGAGTTTAGAGACAGTGACACTGATATATGTTTCATTCTCTTTTAATCTATCCTGTCTTGGTAGTGTTACGGTGAGTGCGGAGAAAGAGCGAGAGAGAGAGAGGGAGGAAGAGAGAGAGAGAAAGACGAAGAAAGGTAAACATGTATTATAAACATAGGAAACAAACACAATAGACAATCACTTATTCGTCAATATAACTAAAGACAAACGTAAATAAAACAGTGGAGAGAAGAAAGAACGGAGCGACGAAGTGGAGAGAAGAAAGAACGGAGCGACGAAGTGGAGAGAATAAAGAACGGAGCGACAAAGTGAAGAATTGAGAGAAGAATAAATAGAGCGACGAAGTAGAGAGAAGAAAGTACGGAGCGAAGTGAACAGTGGAGAGTGAAGAAAGCACGGAGCGATGAAGGGAACAGTGGGGAGAAGAAAAAGCAGAGCGACGAGGGGGAGAGAAGAAAGAACGCGGCGACAAAGTGAACAGTGGAGAGAAAAGAAATAATGGACCGACGAAGGGAATAGTGAAGAGAGAAGAAAGAACAGAATGACGAAGTGAACAGACCAGAGAAGAAAGAACGAAGCGATGAATTAAACAGTGTAGATAGAAGACAAAACGGAACGACGAAGGGAACTGTGGAGAGAGAAGAAAGAACGGAACGACGAAGTAAACAATGGAGAGAAGAAAGAACGGAACGATGATTTAAACAATGGAGAGAAGAAAGAACGGAACAACGAAGTAAACAGTGGAGAGAAAAAAGAACTAAACAACGAAGTGAACAGTGGAGAGAAAAAATAACCAACGACGAAGGAACAGTGGAGAGAAAAAACGACGAAGTGAACAATGGAGAAAAGAAAGAATGGAACGACGAAGTAAACAGTGAAGAGGAAAAAAAACTAAATGACGAAGTAAGCAGTGGAGGGAAGACAGAACTAAACGACAAAGTAAACAGTGGAGGGAAGAAAGAACGCAACGATGAAGTAAACAATGGAGAGAAAAAAAGAACGTAACGACGAAGTAAACAGTGGAGAGAAGAAAGAACGCAACGATGAAGTAAACAATGGAGAGAAAAAAAGAACGGAACGACGAAGTAAACAGTGGAGAGAAGAAAGAAACAAACGACGAAGTAAACAATGGAGAGAAGAAAGAACCAAACGACGAAGTAAACAATGGAGAGAAGAAAGAACGAAACGACGAAGTAAACAATGCAGAAAAGAAAGAACGGAAGGACGAAGTAAACAATGGAGAGGAGAAAGAACAGAATGACGAACTAAACAATGGCGAGAAAAAAGAACTATACGACGAAGTAAACAGTGGAGAGAAGAAAGAAAGGAACGACGAAGTAAACAGTGGAGAGAAGAAAGAACTAAACGACGAAGTAAACAGTGGAGAGAAGAAAGAACCAAACGACGAAGTAAACAGTGGAGAGAAGAAAGAACCAATCGACGAAGTAAACAGTGGAGAGAAGAAAGAACCAAACGACGAAGTAAACAGTGGAGAGAAGAAAGAAAGGAACGACGAAGTAAACAGTGGAGAGAAGAAAGAACCAAACGACGAAGTAAACAGTGGAGAGAAGAAAGAATAAAACGACGAAGTAAACAATGGGGAGAAGATTGAACGGAACGACGAAGTAAACAATGGAGAGGAGAAAAAACAGAACGACGAAGTAAACAATGGAGAGAAGAAAGAACTAAACGACGAAGTAAACAGTGGAGAGAAGAAAGAACGGAACGATGAAGTAAACAATGGAGAGAAGAAAGAACGGAACGACGAAGTGAACAGTGGAGAGAAGAAAGAACCAAACGGCGAAATAAACAGTGGAGAGAAGAAAGAACGGAACGACGAAGTAAACAATGGAGAGAAGAAAGAACAGAAGGACAAAGTAAACAGTGGAGAGAAGGAAGAACCAAACGAAGAAATACAACAATGAAGAGAAGAAAGAACGGAAGGACGAAGTAAACAATAGAGAGAAGAAAGTACTAAACGACGAAGTAAACAATGGAGAGAAGAAAGAACCAAACGACGAAGTAAACAATGGAGAGAAGAAAGAACCAAACGACGAAGTAAACAGTGGAGAGAAGAAAGAACGGAACGACGAAGTAAACAGTGGAGAGAAGTAAGAACGGAAAGACGAAGTAAACAATAGAGAGAAGAAAGAACGGAAAGACGAAGTAAACAATAGAGAGAAGAAAGAACGGAAAGACGAAGTAAACAATAGAGAGAAGAAAGAACGGAAAGACGAAGTAAACAATGGAGAGAAGAAAGAACGGAAAGACAAAGTAAACAATGGAGAGAAGAAAGAACGGAAGGACAAAGTAAACAGTGGAGAGAAGGAAGAACCAAACGAAGAAATACAACAATGAAGAGAAGAAAGAAGGGAAGGACGAAGTAAACAACAGAGAGAAGAAAGTACTAAACGACGAAGTAAACAATGGATAGAAGAAAGAACCAAACGACGAAGTAAACAGTGGAGAGAAGAAAGAACGGAACGACGAATTAAACAGTGGAGAGAAGAAAGAACGGAAAGACGAAGTAAACAATAGAGAGAAGAAAGAACGGAAAGACGAAGTAAACAATAGAGAGAAGAAAGAACGGAAAGACGAAGTAAACAATAGAGAGAAGAAAGAACGGAAAGACGAAGTAAACAATAGAGAGAAGAAATAACGGAAAGACGAAGTAAACAATAGAGAGAAGAAAGAACGGAAAGACGAAGTAAACAATAGAGAGAAGAAAGAACGGAAAGACGAAGTAAACAGAGAGAAGAAAGAACGGAAAGACGAAGTAAACAATAGAGAGAAGAAAGAACGGAAAGACAAAGTAAACAATAGAGAGAAGAAAGAACGGAACGACAAAGTAAACAATAAAGAGAAGAAAGAACGGAAAGACAAAGTAAACAATAGAGAGAAGAAAGAAAGGAAAGACGATGTAAACAATGGAGAGAAGCTCACATTCCGGTCGGTAAGTTACGCTAAATATTCTCACTTGCCAGTGTAGACAATCTGTTGTTATCTGACATGGACACCGGATGTGTTAGGCTGCTAGCAGCGCCTATTTTTACCTTTCATCAACGTTGTAATTATACATTTAGAATTCTCCCCCTCCCCCCCCCCCCCTTTTTTTTTTAAATGGCCTGCCTCCAACCCAATCTGTCTTTTAACTTTTTTCACATTTACTTATTCTGGCTACATTCGACACCCTTCCCTCAGCTGGCGTCTACACCCCACTCCCTACCGTTGTATATAAGTGGCTCTGCCAGGACCATTATGAATTGGCGGACATGTGACAGGTCAGACTGACAGCTGCTTACTGTACCAGGTAGTTTCTTGTCTAATTAAAGCCTGGGACAAGTGACAGAAACTGGGAGAAAGCCACCGACCAACCTGCCCACAACACCAAACATGGCGGTCCAGTCTTCTAACACATTCGAGCAACACTTGCCAGAATACGGGATTTTAAGTCTTGCTTTTAGATTTGTGATGTAGCTGGAGACAGGTCTCTACCAACTTCTGAAGTAAGTGTTCATACCTTAAGTAACACAGACAACTTGCTAGTTTGTGTTGTACTTCTAGAGTAATTGTCTGTACCTTAAGTAATACAGCTAACCTGATAGTTTAAGTTGTACTTCTTGAGTAATTGTCTGTACCTTAAGTGACACAGCTAACTTGATAGTTTGTGTTGTACTTCTGGAGTAATTGTCTGTACCTTTTAAGTAACACAGCTAAATTGCTAGTTTGTGTTGTACTTCTAGAGTAATTTCTGTACCTTAAATAACACAGCTAACTTGAAAGTTTGTGTTGTACTTCTGGAGTAATTGTCTGTACCTCAAATAACACAGCTAACTTGATAGTTTGTGTTGTACTTCTGGAGTAATTGTCTGTACCTCAAATAACACAGCTAACTTGATAGTTTGTGTTGTACTTCTGGAGTAATTGTCTGTACCTCAAATAACACAGCTAACTTGATTGTTTGTGTTGTACTTCTGGAGTAATTGTCTGTACCTCAAATAACACAGCTAACTTGATAGTTTGTGTTGTACTTCTGGAGTAATTGTATGTACCTTAAATAACACAGCTAACTTGGACGTTCAGTTGTAGCCGGAGTAAGATATCTACCAACTTCTGGAGTAATTGTCCTTGAGCCGGAGTCAGGTCTCGACCAACTTCTGGAGTAATTGCCCTAGAGCCGGAGTCAGGTCTCTACCAACTTCTGGAGTAAATTGTCCTAGAGCCGGAGTCAGGTCTCTACCAACGTCTGGAGTAATTGTCATAGAGCCGGTGTCAGGTCTCCACCAACTTCTGGAGTAATTGCCCTAGAGCCGGAGTCAGGTCTCTACCAACTTCTGGAGTAATTGTCCTAGAGCCGGAGTCAGGTCTCTACCAACTTCTGAAGTAATTGTCCTAGACTTCAGTAACACAGAAAACTTGCATGTTTAGTTGTAGCCGGAGTCAGGTCTCTACCAACTTCTGGAGCATTTGTCCACTACTTCAGTAACACAGACAACTTGCTTGTTTAGTTGTAGCCGGATTCAGGTCTCTACCAACTTCTGGAGTAATTGTCCACTATTTCAGTAACACAGACAACTTGCTTGTTTAGTTGTAGCCAGAGTCAGGTCTCTACCAACTTCTGGAGTAATTGTCCACTATTTCAGTAACACAGACAACTTGCACGTTTAGTTGTAGCCAGAGTCAGGTCTCTACCAACTTCTGGAGTAATTGTCCACTATTTCAGTAACACAGACAACTTGCACGTTTAGTTGTAGCCAGAGTCAGGTCTCTACCAACTTCTGGAGTATTTGTCCACTACTTCAGGAACACAGACAACTTGCTTGTTTAGTTGTAGCCAGAGTCAGGTCTCTACCAACTTCTGGAGTAATTGTCCACTATTTCAGTAACACAGACAACTTGCACGTTTAGTTGTAGCCAGAGTCAGGTCTCTACCAACTTCTGGAGTATTTGTCGACTATTTCAGTAACACAGACAACTTGCACGTTTAGTTGTAGCCAGAGTCAGGTCTCTACCAACTTCTGGAGCATTTGTCCACTACTTCAGCAACACAGACAACTTGCATGTTTAGTTGTAGCCAGAGTCAGGTCTCTACCAACTTCTGGAGCATTTGTCCAGTAACACAGACAACTTGCTTGCTTAGTTGTAGCCGGAGTCAGGTCTCTACCAACTTCTGGAGTAATTGTCCACTATTTCAGTAACACAGACAACTTGCACGTTTAGTTGTAGCCAGAGTCAGGTCTCTACCAACTTCTGGAGTAATTGTCCACTACTTTAGGAACACAGACAACTTGCACGTTTAGTTGTAGCCAGAGTCAGGTCTCTACCAACTTCTGGAGTATTTGTCCACTATTTCAGTAACACAGACAACTTGCATGCGTTTAGTTAAAGCTGAAGTCAGGTCTCTACCAACTTCTGGAGCATTTGTCCACTACTTCAGGAACACAGACAACTTGCTTGTTTAGTTGTAGCCGGATTCAGGTCTCTACCAACTTCTGGAGCATTTGTCCACTACTTCAGTAACACAGACAACTTGCACGTTTAGTTGTAGCCAGAGTCAGGTCTCTACCAACTTCTGAAGTATTTGTCCACTACTTCAGGAACACAGACAACTTGCTTGTTTAGTTGTAGCCAGAGTCAGGTATCTGCCAACTTCTGGAGTAATTGTCCACTACTTCAGTAACACAGACAGCTTGCATGTTTAGTTGTAGCCAGAGTCAGGTCTCTACCAACTTTTGGAGTAAATGTCCACTACTTCAGTAACACCGCACAATGGAAGTAGGCGAGCGGACTTCTAGTTGCCAGCGTGTCACATGTACGAGGTTAGCGTCGGGACAGCGAGACATCAGTGTATGTTGTATTTACGTGGTTTATGTCGGAAGGAACAACCAGACTCGTGTGTCTTTCGTATTTAGTTTATGTCGGAAGGAACAACCAGACTCGTGTGTCTTTCGTATTTAGTTTATGTCGGAAGGAACAACCAGACTCGTGTGTGTTTCGTATTTACGTGGTTTATGTCAGAAGGAACAACCAGACTCGTGTGTCTTTCGTATTTACGTGGTTTATGTCGGAAAGAACAACCAGACTCGTGTGTTTCGTATTTACGTGGTTTATGTCGGAAGGAACAACCAGACTCGTGTGTGTTTCGTATTTACGTGGTTTATGTCGGAAGGAACAACCAGACTCGTGTGTGTTTCGTATTTACGTGGTTTATGTCGGAAGGAACAACCAGACTCGTGTGTGTTTCGTATTTACGTGGTTTATGTCGGAAGGAACAACCAGACTCGTGTGTGTTTCGTATTTACGTGGTTTATGTCGAAAGGAACAACCAGACTCGTGTGTGTTTCGTATTTACGTGGTTTATGTAGGAAGGAACAACCAGACTCGTGTGTGTTTCGTATTTACGTGGTTTATGTAGGAAGGAACAACCAGACTCGTGTGTGTTTCGTATTTACGTGGTTTATGTCAAAAGGAACAACCAGACTCGTGTGTGTTTCGTATTTACGTGGTTTATGTCAAAAGGAACAACCAGACTCGTGTGTGTTTCGTATTTACGTAGTTTATGTCAGAAGGAACAATCAGACCTGTATGTGTATCGTATTTATGCTGGTAATGTCCGAATAAAGGGGTTAGCATCAGGACAGTGTGTTCTATGTACGAGGTGACACTGGCGCCTCATATCGGATGTTGGAGTGTACTATACAGCAAAAGGTAAACACTGACGTTTTCTGTTAAAAGATTTTGATTTCAATAGAAGCGCTTACATAAGGTAGTTGATGAAATATACCTCTGACCGGATGACGACCTTCAAACGTAGCTATACGGTTTGCTTTCATATGTTCTGTTTCTTGCCGAGAATGTTTATTATTCTATTGCATAAACTCATCGAATCATTTTTAGAATTCCACATATGAAGTGAGTGACTCAATTTCGACTCTGAAGTGAATGATTGTCGTTTTTGCAGTGATGAAATGCCATGTGTAAAGTGACCAAATGTCATCTCTGAAGTGACCGAATGCCGTATGTAAAGTGACCAAATGTCATCTCTGAAGTGACCGAATGCCGTATGTAAAGTGAATTGAATGTAGTCTGTAAAGTAATTGACTGTCCCCTGGGAAGTGACTGATATGTGGTCTGAGAAGTGACGGAATGTGGTCTGAGAAGTGACTGATATGTGGTCTGAGAAGTGACTGATATGTGGTCTGAGAAGTGACGGAATGTGGTCTGAGAAGTGACTGAATGTGGTCTGAGAAATGACTGAATGTGGTCTGAGAAGTGACCAAATGTGGTCGGAGAAGTGACTGAATGTGGTCTGAGAAGTGACTGAATGTGGTCTGAGAAGTGACTGAATGTGGTCTGAGAAGTGTCTGAATGTGGTCTGAGAAGTGACTGAATGTGGTCTGAGAAGAGAGTAACATATGTGATTTAAGTGACTGCAGATCCGCAGCAAATAGGCGGTGACCACATCTCCCAGGCTCTAGAATGTCTCCATCTTTTGTCTGCTGGTCGATACCGGCCTGTTGACGTCTGACTGGGTAGTGCAGTTGCTAAGTGCCACCTTCTCCCCCCCCCCTTCCCCCCAGATTAGGGTCGTTTGTGACTTCCGCTAGAATGCATATTCTCACATCCGATTTACACACTTAGGCGCTCTTTCTTAACAACCTAGTACCATTGATTATTAGTTTGTTACTTAAGTCACTTTCTGTCTGTCGGAAGTCTGTTGTTGAGACACGTGGGGCAGGGGACACTGAAAACGAGTGCGTGTAGGAAAAGAATATAAAGGAATAAGGAAGAGAGAGAGGGAGGGGGAGACAGAAAGGGGGAGGGTGGATAAGAAATTAGGAGGAGGGTAAAGGGTTGTATAATGGAAAATGTTTTGAGGGGACAAAGGAGTAAGAACTAGCATTCAGTGGTCAGCCAACATCCGGTCTATGGAATCAGCTGATGATCTCCCTAGTCAGTGGTCCACCCACACTGGACTACAGGTTACTGTCAGACCCACCCACACTGGACTACATATTACTGTCAGACCCACCCACACTGGACTACATATTACTGTCAGACCCACCTACACTGGACTACAGGTTACTGTCAGACCCACCTACACTGGACTACATATTACTGTTAGACCCACCTACACTGGACTACAGGTTACTGTCAGACCCACCTACACTGGACTACATATTACTGTCAGACCCACCCACACTGGACTACAGGTTACTGTCAGACCCACCTACATTGGACTAAGTATTACTGTCAGACCCACCCACACTGGACTACATATTACTGTCAGACCCACCCACACTGGATTACATATTACTGTCAGACCCACCTACATTGGACTACATATTACTGTCAGACCCACCTACATTGGACTTCATATTACTGTCAGACCCACCCACACTGGACTACATATTACTGTCAGACCCACCTACATTGGACTACATATTACTGTCAGACCCACCCACACTGGACTACATATTACTGTCAGACCCACCCACACTGGACTACATATTATTGTCAGACCCACCCACACTGGACTATAGGTTACTGTCAGACCCAGCCACACTGGACTACAGATTACTGTCAGACACACCGAGACTTGACTACAGGTTACTGTCATACCCACCAACACTGTACTACATATTACGGTCAGACCCACCCACACTGAAACTACATATTACTGTCAGACCCACCCACACTGGACTACAGATTACTGTCAGACCCGCCCACACTGGACTACAGATTACTGTCAGACCCAGCCACACTGGACTACAAGTTACTGTAAGACCCACCCACACCAGAATACAGATTACTGACAGACCCAGCCACAGTGGACTACAGATTACTCTCAGACCCACCCACACCAGACTACAGATTACTGACAGACCCAGCCACAGTGGACTACAGATTACTGACAGACCCAGCCACACCAGACTACCGATTACTGACAGACCCAGCCACATCAGACTACAGATTACTGACAGACCCACCCACACCAGACTACAGATTACTGACAGACCCAGCCACACCAGACTACAGATTACTGACAGACCCACCCACACTGGACTACAGATTACTGTCAGACCCACCCTCATTGGACTACAGATTACTGTCAGACCCACCTACATTGGACTACAGATTACTGACAGACCCAGCCACAGTGGACTACAGATTACTGACAGACCCAGCCACAGTGGACTACAGATTACTCTTAGACCCACCCACATTGGACTACAGATTACTGACAGACCCAGCCACAGTGGACTACAGATTACTGACAGACCCAGCCACATCAGACTACAGATTACTGACAGACCCAGCCACACAGGACTACAGATTACTGTCAGACCCACCCACATTGGACTACAGATTACTGTCAGACACACCGAGACTTGACTACAGGTTACTGTCATACCCACCCACTCTGTACTACATATTACGGTCAGACCCACCCACACTGAAACTACATATTACTGTCAGACCCACCCACACTGAAACTACATATAACTGTCAGACCCCCCCTCTCCCCCCCCCCCCCACACTGAAACTACATATTACTGTCAGACCCATCCATAATGGACTACATATTACTGTCAGGCCCACCCACTCTGGACTACAGGTTTCTGTCAGACCCACTCACTCTAGACTACAGATTACTGTCAGACCCACCCAAACTGGACTTCAGATTACTGTCAGTGTGACGAGCTGGTCTGGACAGCTGTTTCTGTCCTTTTAAAAAGTGCTTTGTTTAGATAATATTATTACCAAAGTTCTAAACATTTTCCTAATGCTTTTAATTAGCATAATAACACTGGACTAATTAAGAAATTTCTTACCCCTTTCTTAATGCTTCATTGTAGCAAAATTATAATTAAAGAGTTGAAAGGTAATAAAGGCGAAGAGTAGTGCAAGGGGTAACAAAGAGTAACTTCCCCCTTGGTAGGACTTCCCATCTTCCATTTTTCATTCCAGGCTCGATTGGGGGAGTCAAGATTTTGTTCTCCCCAATTGACACAGTTCAGTTAGTTCTGTTGTCTTGTTGCCTGAGTTTGAATTCCCTGCCAGGGGTGAGTTAAAAGAATAAGTTTAATTTGATGTATTGCTGCTTATTCCTCTGAATTAATTCCACAGGTTAAATTCTGAAATTTAATGCCCACATGGCTCAAAAACTATGATAAATTTCTTTATCCTTACTAACCACGTTTATGATCTAGTATGTACATGTATGCAAACATATTATCTATTTGATGATTGAATTAATGTTTATTTGCTACTAGAAACGTGCATTGGTATTTTTAATAATTATACTTAAATTAATTAAGTGATAATTATGTCCTCATGTGAAATCTCAGCCAGTTCCTGTTTCCAGCTTCGACAATTAAAAATAGGAATGAAGTGTATATTCATTATACCTAATCCCTTCTAAGTTGATTTTACCTCATGGTGATATTAGCTTGATAAATCACTGTCTTGCTTTAATTTAGATTTAGTCCAGATAATTCTGAGACTAGTTTAAGAGCTTGGAAAGTGAATACCACAGTGAGGCTGAATTTAATATTCACACTGTCAGAGAAGAAGAAGAATGTATGGCCCATGCTTGTAATTATTATTGTTGTAGATATATTTCCCTATTACTAGGAATACATTTCAGTTTTACAGCAGGTGGCCTTACAAATGTAATAATTATATTTCACCCCTCACCACTTCTAAACTCTGCTGAATAAGATTAGCACATGTGTGGATTTAGATTTAAACTGGAGTGAGTGTTGTATATTTTATGTTAATACTGTGACAGATGGAAAGCCCATTGTCATCTATGATTGTATTTTGACATCTATCCCAGCACCCAGTATATTGATGGAGATATGTCAATCCCATTTATTTTCAAACAGTGCAAAGCACCTGTTATGAGTTTCTGGCCTTGGTAAACTCACTCCCTGCTTCTCATTCATTGTGATGTGAACCCATGTGGTTAAAATGAGAATATTGTGAAATATGACTGTGTATGTCTGTGTGTGTAAGCATGTTAACCCTTCAAAGGAGTACTAGTGTGCAGACATCAGAACAATTTACACTGAGGAATGTCCTTTCTTTTTGTGTGCTGTAAACTCTTGTTCTTGAGAGTATTCATGAAACTGGTTTCCTAAATATTTCCCCATCAGGATTATGGACCATGTTCTGTATACATTCCCATTCTATACCAGTAGAATGTGAACACCTGTTACTATCCTACTCCATATATATGTGTGTGTAGTGTAACAGTATTTAAAGACTGGAGGTATTGTTGTCTCCAGTTAGAACCTTCCTGACTGTTTGTATAAGGACTGTTCTAATGTTCTAGTTCCAGATTGTAGTCCAGGTGGGAGATCCATAAGTAGCTGCAGATGCCCGATTGTCTGGACTGGACCGGAAGATTCGGCCTGCCTGATGTGTCACCGAGGCTTAGCTAGAAGCTGACCTAAAGCTACAGCTAAGATTTAACCTACCTTGTATAACAGGATTTTATATCCACAGCCATTTTGTTTATTATTTTGATATCCAATTCTGAATAAATGTTAGTTTTAATGTTCCTACAGTTTTATGAAGTTTCATTTTAACTGTAAACATTGTCAGTGAACTTAAGAACATTTAAATATACAATCTTAATAACAGCAGGGAATAGGATGTGGGCAAACCCCGAATCCTCTCATTTAACCAGCAAGGCTGGGGTTACTATAAGACTTTATGATGACTCACTGTTTGTAATTCCCTCTGTAAAGTGCACATAGTGCATTCGCTAGTTAAAGCGAAGTTACCCGCCACAGAGTGGGAGTCTCGTCTCGGAATTTATTCACTCACAGAGTGGGATCTCGTCTCGGAATTTACTCACTCACAAAGTGGAGATCTTGTCTCGGGGTTTGTAACCTCACACACAAAGTGAGATATTGTTCCTGGTTTTTCCCTAGACAACAGCATATTTTTTTTATATTTTGTGTTCAAGTGTTTAGCCATCTTTGATTTATTTTATGGCATATACTTAAAGAACACTGGACGCTCAGAGTCATTAGTTACTAGTTTGCCTGTTAAAGTTAGCAAAAATTAACTTGGGTAATTATGTAACTGAAATTTACAAATAGTTTAAATGTTCACTGACTTTAGGAAATCAAAATATATAATTGGCTAGGACAATTTTAATTCCCAAATTAATGGTTGCCCATAAGGTTAAGGATTTGTTGAAATGGATTAACAAGTGGCATTGCTATTTTTTTCATTTTGATTGATTATGTGATTGATTATTTGATTGATGCATATGTGATTTGCTTACTAACCCTCTGTTGACCTAATTTTCTGAGTCTTGTCTAGTACTCTATAATTTCAGCAGCAATCATAGGTGATAATTTGCAAACTCCTTGTAAGGGTCACTACAGCTTAACCGAGATGGCAGCATATCATTCTCTATTGGGCAAGACCATCTCAGACTTTGCTGCTCATGAGGCAGGTTTGAGTGGGATTGAGCTAGATATATATGTCTCTGATTTGTTGAATGCCAAATCTCAACTAGAAGCTAATGTAGGTGTCCAAGGGAGGGAAGTAGATTCTATAGATTGGTTTTTTAGAAGTATAGAAATGGGTCAGGCTTGCAAATTCACAGGTATTAAACTGCTAGAGTGTGTTGCAGAGAAGGTCAAGGAAGATTGGGAGTGGCAACTGGAATGTGTCCAAATGGAACAGCATGCACTAGCTAGAGGTTTTAAAGAGGCTGTTGAACATGCTCAGTGGAACCAGAAAGCCTTTGCTGGCGAGCCTTCCCGAGAGTTATGGATGTTCACAACCAAAAAGCCAGACACTTCCATGTCAGCCAAAAATGCATTTCCAAGTACAAGTATCAGTCACTGTACATCAGTAATTGAAGAAAGATCCCTTACCCCACCAGAATCTGGAAATGAAAAACCCTGGTAGAGAATGTGAGATCCTTGGCAGCTGTCAAGAGATCATAGCTAGTGAGCCTGCGGCTGCAGTGACCACTAGTGGGCTAGCTACCACAAAACTTGAGTTAACTCAGGGTGGTGATTTCTGTCAAGATGGTCATTCCTTGGCAGAAATAAAAAGTGTTATTCCCAAAACCAACCCCATTTTAGATAATATTATTTTATCTAGAAGCTTGCACAGCAAGGAAACTTTGAAGAAGGTAGGTGGCGAGACAGAAGACTTCAGCTCCACGCTGCAGATAGTATCTTGTAAAGCGGAGTCTGTTTATGTCCATGCTCCCACTACTTATTCTCACACGCAGTCAGTAGAAAGTCATGTGCTAGTTAAAGACATAGATTTTTCCAGTAAGTCGAGTGATATCCTAGAGTTTACTGAGAGAAGCAAAAATGCATCTCAGTCCTGCTTACAAGTTAGGGAAAAAGAGTCTCAGGCCTTAGATAAGTCCTTGAGGTCTCAAGGTATGTTGTTGTGTCCCCTCAGAATCAAGGGCCAGCACAACTTTGACTACCAAGAAAATGAGTCTCATGCTTTTGAAAAGCCACTGAGATCTCAGGGTATGTTGTTGTGTCCCCTCAGAATCAAGGGCCAGCACAACTTTGACTACCAAGAAAATGAGTCTCAAGCTTCTGATAAGCCACTGAGATCTCAGGGTATGTTGTTGTGTCCCCTCAGAATCAAGGGCCAGCACAACTTTGACAACCCAGTAAATGAGTCTCAAGATTCTAATAAGCCATTGAGGTCTCATGGCATGTTGTTGTGTCCCCTCAGAACCAAGTGCAAGCACAACTTTGACAACCCAACGACTGCAAATAAGCAGGTCATGAGAGACCAAAAGTCTCGCATCTTGGTCCAATCCAAGATGAGCCAACCAGAGCATTTGTGGACACCTCTTCTGAAAAGAGTTGTGTGTTTCACCAAGACTAGCCCGATAGCTAGGCAGACTGCTAAAAAGCTAACTAGGTCTACTGAGAACCCCTTAAAGAGTAAACTCCTTAAGCTCAGGTCTTTTGCCAGTTTAGTTAGGACCATTAATGATCCCAACCCTAAATCTGGTGAGGCTTATGCCAAATCCTCTGCAACCAGGCCAGAAACTTCAGTCTGTGCCAGTGCAGCCAAGAGGAGGAAG